TGCTCTCTCTACTGAAAGAACGAGGCCGGAAGAGCCAATGCGATCATCTGGTGAGCCAAGAGAGGCAATTGGACTAGATCGGACTCCCCAATTCAATGGGCTTGATGAGCTGAAGGATACATACTCCGCATCTAAGGCCGGGACATCCACACTGTACTTAATACACCTCTCGCCCACTGGAACCATGGCCTTTCTAGTGCATGGTCGGATACTTCCATTCTCAAATTGATTCTCTTTGTTTTCTATGGCTCCTTATGCTGTGTTTGCCAACTACACTGAAACATCCATCCAACTTCTACTTTCGTCCAAAGGAAAGATCACCTCATGCTTCGCTCTCTGCGCCTGTTTCTCTGCTTTTCCTCCAAATCATGTGAACCCACTGATTCCACGACGCAGGGCTCAGAAAACGTGGAAGATTCCGTTCGCGTGAGACCTGAGGATAGAACGGTTGTGCAAGCACGAGTTGCGAGTCCCGGCGAAGGGGAACTGGGCCGTGTACAGTCCAGGGTGCCTTCGACTTCTCTCGCGAGCTGCGATAGCAGCACACAAACCGAATCGACAAATGCTTCAGATGGCGAAACCAGAGCAACGACAGCATCCTGCATCCGTGGAAGCACTTCCACGACCGGGTCACCGGCCAAGCTTCTCTCCCCATCGCCATTGAACATAGTCACACCGTACATCCCTATCCTGCAAGTAGATGGCAGTCTGCGGGCCCCGCCGGTCACATTTGATGGCTACGGCTCCTATGGGGGCCGGTTCGCTCCTGAATCTATCATGGGATTCCTATACGAGCTGACATCATTCTTCGAGGCCACCGTCTCAGACCCTTCGTTCTGGGAAGAGTATGCCACATTCCAGCGTGCCCATGTCACACCACTACAGAGAGCTCAGAATTTAACCAGCCTGGCCGGAGGGGCTACCATCTGGCTAAAGCGCGAGGACAAAAATGAATACGGCAGCCATAAGATCCGCAACATCCTCGGCCAGCTCCTGCTCGCTCGCCGGATGGGCCGCTCTGAGATCGTCACAGAGTGCGCCTCGGCTAAACATGGCAAATTCACCGCTGCCATGTGCGCACGCCTGGGATTGCGTTGTGTGGTCGTCATTGGTGCAGATGATGCTAGTGCCCAGGAGCAGGATATGCGAGAGATAAAGGGGCTCGGCGCTAAGATTCTGCCGGCTCGCACCCCCTCCGGCATGGGTAGTCTACGCGCTGCTATCACAGAAGCACTGCGATATGCGGTCTGCAATCACGAATCTGCCTACTACCTCATGGGTAGCCCGGTGGGGCCCAGTCCACTGCCGACCCTGGCTCGCACGTTCCAAGCCCTTCTAGGCGAGGAGGTTGCAGCTCAAATGCGCGAGGCAGTAGGTGGCCAGCCGGATGCCCTTGTCACCGCCATTGGCAGTGGTAGCGGTGCAATCGGTCTCTTTCGACCGTTCCTTCATGACTCATCGATTCGTCTAGTTGGCGTTGAAGCCGCCAAGGCAGCTGCCCTAACAGATGGTGAGCTTGGCGTCCTGCAGGGTGCCCGCACTCTGCTCCTCCAAAACCAAGATGGCCAGATCCTTGACTCGCATTCCATTTCACCGGACATGAACTTGTCTACCGTGAGCCCTGAGATCGCTCATTGGAAAGACTCTGGCCGGATTGAAATTTCCACGGCTACCGACGCGGTTGCCCTGGACGGATTTAGAACGCTTCAGCACCGCGAGGGGTTCTTGCCTGGTCTTGACTCGAGTCACGCGGTAACCAAGGCACTCGATCTTGCTAGAGAACTTGGTCCGGGTAAGAATGTGGTTTTTTTGGTGACTGGATTTGATCATATTGGCGTACCTGGGTTGGACGTCTGAAGTGCTCGAGGGGCGAAAAAGCGAGTCATGAGAACCCCTGATTGCTTTTCGCGTTTTGTCGGGAATCCTCCAACTCGTCTCCTTCGTGGCGCCGGGTTTCGTGCTTTTACTTGTCTATATCCTAGTCTTACTGTATCATATTTGTTGTTGTCCTCTTGGTGTGAGTTAATATGCCCCAAGGCTATTATACTTGAAATTTACTTGAGATCCTTGCCTTTTTCCAAGGTTCCAAAGACTATCTCTTGTGTTAAGTGGCTTTTTTTTAACGAGCTGGTGGCTGATGCCATGCGTTTTGTTTTCGTTCGTTGCAGGATGTCTTCATTGTTGAACTGCCGTTCATCTTTGCTTTTTCCACGACAAGAGACCTTCTTCACCTCTACGCTGCAAGAAGAGAAGGAATGGGATGGCCATGTCTAAATTCAGTATGTTTCAAGACTCTGGTTTAATTTTTGGTCATCAGTCATATCGGTATATCATTTACAGCACAGCCCCGTAGAGAAGTCAAACGGCATGATTCAATCCTCATGTGTGACCGACATGTCCAGAACCTCAACCCGGCCTCTTCCACGGGTCTCATTGCTCACCAACTCATTCAATCCCTTGAACGCACCGGGCTCAGCAAAACCGACAATCTCCCATTCATCCCCGCCAACAACTTCTTGCGATTCAACCGATTCGATGAAAGCCATAATTTTGTCTTTGACGGTGCTCGGGGCCTTGGGTGCAGCTTCCACATCAGACTGACCAGCCTCGACGTCGGAATCATCCTTCTTGGCAGATTTCTTCGCTCCCTTATTCCCCTTTTTGTTTTTGGGGCCACCGGAGGAGGCCTCCTTCTCCTTAATCGACGCAGGACCTGAGGCTGCCTTGACAGACTGCTTCAGCAGCGCCACTGGGCAGGTCACACGAAGACGCATGCGTGCCCGCATAACAGGGATCGGCTGCCAAGCGATGAGAGCCTTCATGGCATCCAACGCTTGAATCTTCGCCGAACGGTTCGCCGAAACTCCCGTCCAGAGCGGCTTCTTCGGCTGGGAGGGCTTCTCTTCGCCATCTCCATTCGCCTCCCCGCTCGCTTGAGTCTGTTGTTGTCCGCTGGCTGAGGTGAGTTGATCCAACGCCTTGTGAATCATTCCAGGTGTGTACACGCGCTTGGTGGACGGGTCGACTAGTCGGCCTGACACGATATCCAGTACTTCCTTCTCCACTCGCTCGAGGATGTCTTTGCGCTCCCGCTCACCGACTTGCACTTCGCCTTTGCGGAGGATCTCTTGGAGGATTTCTTCGCGAGGGGTACCGGCCCCGAAGGCTTTTGTTAGCTCTGCCGATGGGGCGGTTTGTGCTTTAGAGACGGAGAGGAATACGGTTGGGACTTGGAGGACATTGTCGAGGTCTTTTTCAGCGCCGGATCGGTATTCAAGCAGTTTGTTCTTATAACAGGCGAGTTCGAAGCGCTTCTTGCCTGTATTGAGGTACAAGGTTAGAAAGGTCAAAGCGACATAATCAAGACAGAGGCGTACCCTTTTTGAGTCGGACGACCGACACGTTGGTAAATTTAATTTGGTTGGAGGGTTGGTTGATAGGCATTTTGGGTGTGCGAAGCCGTTGAGGGCTGGTTGCTTCCAAGAGAAAAACCAGACACCAGAAAATGCAGTAATATTCAAGGGCAGATTTTCCAACTATTTTCCAAATGGATGACACTGTCAGGACTAAAGGGTATCTGTAAACTGAGTATGGTATATTCCAAATTGATTTGCGCTCCGAAATCTAAAAAAGATCAGTCGATAAGCTCGTGCCCGAGTCTCAAAGGGGAACTATGCATCACGTGATATGGAGTGGTCTTTCCCCCCACCATAACCCTCTGTAGCACACCTTTTCTTACGGTTGTAGGTTGAAACAACTTATCTTGGAGGGAAGGTGACTTCAATGGAGCGTTCTATACAGCCTGAAGCCACCAGATCGTGTTGCTTCTGGACCTTTTGGGCATATAGTTTCATGCTCTATGCAACCTAGGTACGCAGGGGATCCTCATGTCGTAGAACTCGAAACATCTATGGATATTATTAGAAAGGAGTTATGGCAGTTGAAATTTATACAATATATGATATCTAACATTGCATCATTTCACTTTAAGATACCTTTAGTTCTCACGTTTACGACTAAAGGTACTTGCATACCTACGCGCTTACTTTATTTACATTGTACGAAGATGTTTTATCCCGGCGCTGACCAAGTTGGCCCGAATCCTTAAAATGATCAGAGGGAGGTTATATGTAAGAAGTCCAATGTTCTTTTTGGACGTTCCTTTTGGATGCATGTCAAGATGGTGAAGAGCATGCACTGTCTAGAGGGCTTCCCCTGGGGAACAGATCAGGACGTCATCATGAGCTGGCACCACATGCCATAGCCTGTGAATCCCATCCCTCCCATATTCGAAGCCTGATCTACAATGACATCTCTAATCGTTCATGAGCTGAGGGGGCTTTGTTGAATTGCGCTATTATTATATCTTCGCCTGACGGGAAATCTGATTTTAAAGATTTCTCGCCAGCGCTCATTATATTTGCAAGGACGCACTGCCTGAAATGCCAACGAGGACAGTTATCGGATACCCCTGTTTGGGTCATTTTCCTTTTGGAAAACAGGATCAAGGATTGTAGTCTTCTTGTAGAGTTGAAGGCATTCAGGGGAAACTACGACAATGTAAATAGTCTATTTGTTTTCGCCCCTAAATGGTGTATGTAACGATGACAATGTTCTATTTCCGTGCACCTTTGAGAAAGTGTAGTTGTTACCTTCGTACCTTCAAAGAAGTGACGAGTTGACTTTTGGAGTGCACGGATGATTCTCGTGACTCACGCTGACTCATCCATTCATGGGGTCGGGGCCCCCTCTTACAATCACCTGATTGGCCCAACCGTCTCGTCTTATCGACCGTCCCCGGAGTCATCCCAGGGACCTGCTTCTTCTCACTTCACAAGCCCAGGACATCACTGTCTTGCTTCTTCTCACCCCCACAACTTTATTTCAATTATCAAATATCCTGTGGTATCCTCAAACTGTGAGTGAGTGTCTTCCGTTGGCTTCTTTTTCAGCGCCATTACCGCAAACGGTCACTGATAAGAGGTCCCTTACCCTCAGACCTCAAGGTACCCGTTCCTCATCAGCAACTCACCACTAGCATCATTCTATCTGTGAAACCCAAGCACAGTTTACAATGAGAGTCTTGTCCGCCACTCTCTTGGTGGGAGCAGCTTCGGCCGCTACCCCATCCTTCCAGCAGGTCCTTGGAACTCACAGCGAGCATGCGGAGAACGTAGCCCAACAGGGTGCGGATGCATTCAAGCCCCTGCAACATCTTCAGGACCAGTTCAAGTCTCTTTCTAGTGAGGCTCGTCAGCTCTGGGAGGAAGTCTCTAACTACTTCCCTGAATCTATGGAGAGCGCTCCCATGCTTTCCCTGCCCAAGAAGCACACCCGCCGTCCTGACTCGCACTGGGATTATCATGTCAGTGGTGCCAAGGTCCAAGACATCTGGGTTTCTGGTGCGGGGGGCACCAAGGAGCGTGAGGTTGATGGCAGGCTGGAGGACTACGCCCTCCGCGCGAAGAAGGTTGACCCCAGCTCTCTCGGCATCGATCCCGGTGTGAAGCAGTACAGTGGTTACCTGGATGACAACGAGAATGACAAGCACTTGTTTTACTGTGAGTTAACCTACGTTCATTGTATTTTAGTTTATCTAACATACAATAGGGTTCTTCGAGTCTCGCAATGACCCCAAGAACGACCCCGTCGTTCTGTGGCTGAACGGCGGTCCTGGCTGCTCGTCCCTCACCGGACTTTTCATGGAACTTGGACCCAGCTCCATTGGTGCTAACATCAAGCCCATTTACAATGATTTCTCGTGGAACAACAATGCCTCTGTCATCTTCCTGGATCAGCCTATCAATGTCGGTTACTCCTACAGTGGCTCCTCCGTCAGCGACAGTGTTGCTGCTGGCAAGGACGTCTATGCCCTCCTCACATTGTTCTTCAAGCAATTCCCTGAGTACGCCACACAAGACTTCCACATCGCTGGCGAGTCCTACGCTGGTCACTACATCCCTGTCATGGCTTCGGAGATTCTCTCCCACAAGAAGCGCAACATCAACCTCAAGTCTGTTCTCATTGGAAACGGTCTTACCGACGGTCTTACTCAGTACGAGTACTACCGCCCCATGGCCTGTGGTGATGGTGGCTACCCCGCTGTTCTGGATGAGAGCACCTGCCAGTCTATGGACAACTCCCTGTCACGCTGCCAAAGCATGATCCAGGCTTGCTACAATAGCGAGAGCCCCTGGGTTTGCGTCCCGGCCTCAATCTACTGCAACAATGCCATGCTTGGCCCCTACCAGCGCACAGGCCAGAACGTTTACGATGTTCGCGGCAAGTGTGAAGATGAGAGCAATCTTTGCTACAAGGGCCTGGGCTACGTCAGCGAGTACCTTGGCCAGGAGAGCGTGCGCGAGGCTGTCGGTGCTGAGGTTGATGGCTATGACTCATGTAACTTCGACATCAACCGTAACTTCCTCTTTAATGGTGATTGGTTCAAGCCTTACCACCGCCTCGTGCCCGGTCTCCTTGAGCAGATTCCTGTCCTGATCTACGCCGGTGATGCTGACTTCATCTGCAACTGGCTTGGCAACAAGGCCTGGTCCGAGGCTCTTGAGTGGCCCGGCCAGAAGGAGTTCGCTTCCGCCGAGCTTGAGGACCTCAAGATTGTACAGAACGAGCACGTTGGCAAGAAGATCGGTCAGATCAAATCCCACGGCAACTTCACCTTCATGCGAATCTTCGGCGGTGGCCACATGGTCCCCATGGACCAGCCTGAGTCTGGCCTGGAGTTCTTCAACCGCTGGATCGGTGGTGAGTGGTTCTAAACACTCGGCCCACTCGCTCTATGATATAATGCGTTGATGAATTAACAATTACAATACGTGTTATTGATCTTGTGACTAGCTTTGGGGCACAAATTTGACATTTGATCGTCTGGGAATTTCAGAAAGGCCGCATACTCTCAAGGTTGGTGTCATCTGTTTTCCTGCTGATTTTTGGTGATTTCGCTTTTGTTTAGTATAAATATCTAGGCAACTCTGAATTTAATCGATCTTGGATAGACTTGAACATCGAGCAAATAACAAAGGTTGTCAGAGAAGTCTTTCTCCACATTTAAGCCGATTTTACCGCCTTAATTCGAGCGACAACAATAAGCAAGGGGAAGATATGTAATAAAGAAATCTCAAAGATTTTCAGAGAGTCCTGGTATGGACCTTGGACTAGACTACCGAAAAAGATTCAAAGGCATTATGGCAGACTCTTATAAATGGTTAATCAGCAGAAGGGTTGTTTAGCTTGGTGCACGCATCTTGCGTGTAGCGCAAGGCATCTACAACAATGGAGGTATTTCCAGCAAGTGCGGGTGTGTTTGATAGGTGTGAATACGCGCAGACACACATCCACAACCCGTGGACCTCAGTACCCCATAATTTCTGATCGATGGCTTAAGCCTTGTCCCACACCGACGGTCTGGGACAACCCTGCCCCACAGCAAATTGATCCCCGAAGTCTACCACGGAACATTGCAGGATATTCTACTCTACGAGAGCCAAAGGATTGGGACGGGATCATCGAATATGCAGATTGATCCAAAACAGACAATCCCATCAAACCCACAGCCAAGAGTAAAAGTAAATGCATCGAAGAGGATCGGATCATTTCATTGATATGGTTCATTTTCAATTTTTTGACAGCGGGGAAAAGGTCCCACGAGTGCCCATAGAAACACACCGGAAATAACGGAATCCCTCCAAGAACCCCCGGCAAAAAAAACGAACAGATTGATTTAGCCCTTCTTCTTGCTGACACCGACGGTGCGACCGCGGCGGCCAGTGGTCTTGGTGTGTTGACCACGGACACGGAGGCCCCAGTAGTGACGCAGACCACGGTGGGAGCGGATCTTCTTGAGACGCTCAAGATCCTCACGGAGCTTGGAGTCGAGACCGTTGGAGACAACCTGGGTGTCCTTGCCATCGGTGATATCGCGCTGTCTGTTGAGGAACCACGAGGGGATCTTGTACTGAGTAGGGGTCTGGAGGATGGTCACGATGCGCTCGAGCTCTTCGGTGGTGAGCTCACCAGCACTATTAAAAAGTGTCTTGTCAGCTTTGCTGGTCCTGTGATCTTTGTGCGATTGTTGTGCGATGTTCCGTGTGTCGATTATAGTCCAAACTGCTCCATTGTCTCTTTCAAGTGTTTCCTCCAATAACAAACGGATGGGAATATTTGGATGTGCGATGGGGGTTGTAGCGAACGTACCGCTTGGTGAGGTCGACATCGGCCTTCTTGCAGACCAGGTTGGAGTAACGGCGACCGACACCCTTGATCTGGGTCAGCGCGTACATGATCTTCTGCTTGCCGTCAACATTGGTGTTGAGCAGACGCAAGATGAACTGGAAGTTCGTCTTATCGCCGGTCACGAGCGCTATTATCGAGAAATCCCCATGTTAGCCAACGTTCAATATCGCGAACGGCCGTATCTGCCACCGTTTCCTGCTTCTTTTTTTTGGCAAAATCGTGGTTGTGTTCATATAAGGCTCTCAGACTGAAAGGAGGGGTCGTCACGTACACATGATGGGCGATGGGCGAGGATCGCGATGGGTTGTCGACAGAGGGATGGAGAGAGGAAGTCCAACTGAATGACTTTGCTTGTGGGATCGGGTAATTGGGACACTAACCCGATTTGGACGAGGGCTCGCTTGATAGAGGCTAGACCGAAAGTGGCTAGGTTGCAAAAGCATATCATGTGAAGTCACGTGGACATTAATTACAACGTTAGATTCAGGTAATTTGCGTTGTTATTTACACGTATCTTACACTAAGCCCTGACAGACGGCTTTGTTTTCCTCGACATGAAACTGCGATGAACCCAGTCCTTGGAGTTATCAGCAAGTATCAAAGTGTCTCTTTGTGCTTCGAGTAATCTTTCATGAGTTTCCATACGATGATTTACTCTGTGGCTCTGTCATCTCTTTGACTCATGGTTTTATCTTTCTTTCAATCTTTGATTGAGCATTTCGAACGCGTCTCCAAGTCTATTGTCGCTCGCAGGCACTTATGTTCTTTGGCTCATACATTTTTTTTTTCAGGCCGGATAATGCTAAAATTTCTGACTCTTTTTGCTTTGGGGGCACCTTGAGAATTTCTACTTCGATGCTAACCTCGTCCGCATTTTGAAGGTCATCTCTAGACTCCGGTGAGGTTTACACAAGATAGCAGCAACATGGTCACAACATCCTCTAAACATACCGAATCTGGAACCCTGATCTATACTAGCATCGATTCAACTATTTCTGTTCTTTGTTTTGTCAAAGAACCCCAGGACCCCACTGATGTTGACATCTAAATTGCCCATCTATTTTTACTCGGTTCTTTGATATTCTCTGGACTTGACCTCTACCGAGATGTTCTGAATTAATGTGACAGATATAGGATTCCCCACGCTCATGTTGCCCTGGCGTTAAACCTTGGAATGGAAATGCTTTGTTCATCAAGAAATAGGAAGTTGCCATGGGCACTCGATTCGGGACGCTCGGTGTGTTCTTTTATCTCGTGCTTACCGTCTACAATATGCCACTCTATCTCTTTCAGTTGGTAAAGATGGCATTCAAGCTGGCACATTGGACAATGTATGTTCCTCGTTGTGCATTAAAGCACTTGGTTCGCACCGTTTCGGCCTTCGGTTGATAGTTTCCAATCTTCTCAGACCCAATAGAGGATACCCTAATGTCAGGACATTTTTCTTGATAGCGCCTGTCGTGACAGATTTTTAGACCCCTTCACTTCCAGTTTGTCGCGATGGGTAGTTTCTCTCCACTCGAGATCCCTCCCCTTTCGGATTTCCCCTTGAAGGCAGAGGACCTCGAACACCCGCCTCCGCCTTTGCCTCTTTACGATTTTACCCGTCTTCCTGATCCACCTAATGACTGGTCACATTTCAATGTCAAGTTTGAAACCATTTTACTGGGTCACAGTCGTTCCTTGAAGCTCCCACAGGTGCAAGTGTTGATGAAGCATTACTTCTGGGGAATTCACTATGAGATACCTACTCACACCCCCATGACAACAAGAAAGAAGCCAAGTCTCAAAGCTCAACAGATGATGCTGTTCAAGCTCATCTACTATATGCAAGAACGTCATCAACCGAAGACTTGGTTAGACATGCTCAATGTGAACCGAGATACTGGGCCACGACTTTTGAGGTATGACCTCAATCCACGCCCAAAGCCCCTCAGTAGGTGGTACAACTCTACTCCGGATGTGAGCACACATATCTTGAATGCGTATATACGCCCTCATGACGCGCCACCAGACATGCCCGACTACCTTATTCAACAGTACATGTACTCAGTTGACAGCTTGCATACACCACCTCCACCTCCACCACCTCCGGCGCCAACACTCGCCGCGCAACAAGAGGAGATTCTTCGTGTGCAACTGCTGCAACATATGAATCCCGGAGTCAATTTTACGCCGACTTTTTCATTGACCGATCTGCCGGGCAAGAAAACCTCGGGCCCTGTACCAGGCCAAAAACGGGGTCCAGACGACAAAGAACCCCGTCGCAAGCGTTCGAGACAAATCTCACCCGGTGCCCCTGCTTACCGAGGTCGCCCTCGTTCCCCAACTCCGCCGTTTCAAGAGCCCGTCTTTGCTGCTGATGATATCACAACTTTCACTTGGACGCCTGGTCTGGCACCTTCCTATACAGTGGCTCCCACTGGAAGGCACCAATTGAGCCCTGTTGTCGCGAAACCTTCAGGTCCACTTGACGTACGAGTGATTACAGACGCCGTGGAACGGGCAGTGATGCAGATCGTGTATGCTGATTTAGATCGTGATCCCACCATTCCGTCCGTTGAAAAACCTGTCCGACACCGGACTGCCCAGTCGTACCAAGATATGCTTACGCTGAAACTTGGGTCGTTCCCTACCACGGCGCATGTAAAATTGTCACCACTGACTTTTGATTGGGATCCAAATGGCGCTGTATTTCCGGCCCGGGGCCGCGGTCCTATCTGGGACTCAATGTCTTGTGCAACAGATGCCGTTATTGTAGCGGGAATGCTACTTGACGCTGGTTGTACCAAGATAGATCGTGCAAACAATCGAGCAGCCGAGTTCAAAGATATCGAAAAAGCATTCATTGAAGTGACAATGGCGAGCTGGGAAACCTTCGACGATAAAACTTCCATATTCGTGCGTGACGAGTGGCTCCGTCTGTTTATCGATAGCTCCCCCGGCTTGAAAATGGGACAACCGATTCCTCCTTGGGCGGTTTGGTCAGTGGCTACAAGAAGCTTCGCTCAGTTCCGCTATTTCCACGTTGAGCGAGTGACCCCTTGCCAATGCAAGCTCGGGACTCCGTTCTACAACTCTCATCAAGGGTCCTGCATTTTACCTGGTTACCAACCGGGCGACGAAAAAGGAGTAGATCTGCAAGTGTTGATCGAGCGATGCTTCTACCCACGGAAGTCTTTCAGGTGTGATAAGTGTGGTGATCCGACGGGAGTAACTGGAGAACGAAAGATCGGTCAACTCCCGCTGCGTCTAGTGGTAACCTCCGATCTCAAGACACGAATCCGAAATCACACGGAGAATCTCAAATTCAACTACATAGACTATGAAGACAAGCAACAGGTCGCACACTATCGTTGGCTTGGCGGTATTTATAACAACGAATCCCATGCTCGCTTGTTCTGGACAGATACGCAACGGGGCGAGAAAGATGATGGGAATATTATGATGTACGACAGTCAAGTCAATTCGGGAGTCATCATCGGTGGAATCCCGGCATTTCAACGCGAAGAAAAAGTACCCACCGAATGGGTCAGCCATCATGCTATTCCGCTCCTTTTCTATGAGCGAATCATGAATCCCACCACCGACCTATTAGCAAAGGCTAACCATGCCATGTTTGAGTTGAGCAATTGCCTCAACGCGAACAAGAACATTCTCGAAGAGCACATTCCTTGGAAGCGATTAAATCCTCCCTTACAGCGGGAATCATGGCCTCGCATACTTTCGCGCAATGGTGAACGCTTCAGTAATTTCAACCCCGGCTGGGCAACAGCAAGATCGTCCCCCAGCTCAGCTACTGCACAGACTGCTGTGGCTCCTCTGCCACCCATTAGTATTGACCCAGCGCTTCTTGATCCCTTGGTCATTGACCCATCGCTCCTTGATTCATCCCTCTACTCCGCCACCTCGCCTCCGGAATTCGACTTGACCTCATTCTTTGACGTGCCAGGCCTTGGTGCCCCGTCGATCGTGGATCAAGGAATGACTGGTGATTCCACCAAGGACCATCTATTCAAATCGATGATGCAGAGTCCACGCTGGCTCGCTCTAACCCCCGACATGTGGCCTTCAGGTCTGCCTAATGAGGAAGGAGCTTTGGACTTCCCTGAGCTGCCTATGTCACCCCAACTAGGCAATCGCAGTGGTACTAGGTGGACAGATGTCAGCATGCCAGATGCGGGGGAGACTGGGCCTGAGCTTCGAAGCCGAATTTTCCGCAGTACGCACGGCAATGGACTCAAAAGGTCTGCGATAACAAACTATGCTATTTCAAAACAGGCCCTGAGTTCAAGGGAGAAACGGGCCTTGCGTGCAGAGACTCTGTATAGATTTAGTGCAACGCACAGATTTAGTGATATAGAGGAGGAGGAAGTGGAGAGAGAAGAGGAGGTCAATCGAAGGAATAGAGGGATCCAAAAGAAACAGGACCAAGAGCAAAAAAGGAGAGAGGAACGACAAAGACGAACGGAGCTCGAGAAGAATCGGCACGAAGAGCGGGGAAAACAAAAAGAGCATGAAAAGAAGAGAGACGAAGAAGAGCACGATGAAAGTCAAGTACAGAAGAAAGACCCGAAATGGACGAGAGAGGATAATTATAAACAGCAACGACAAAAGGAGGCACAGAAGAAGCAGCAAGAGGCGAAACCCAAGGTATCCAGAAGGCCGGGATTGAGGAATTCGAAGAACATCGATCCAACATGGAAGCCGGGTGATAGTGATGGAGATGAAATAGATCTGTCTTGATGTGTAATCATTTTCGAATCATTTTCGAATGTTGTTCGTCTTCATTTTCATAGATTCGTTCAAGTCAATCCGGTGATTTGCCTGAGGCCCGAATTTGTACACCGCACGAGTTCGTACATCCGTAGGACAGGTATTATACAGATTTAGTACTTAGTCCCTTTTTCCAGTTGCTCCGTGAAATATGCATTACAGGTTTAGATCGTACATGGTATTTTTCATCTTCCCCCCCCCCCTTGTCCCTGCCCGCTTCCCCGCAATCTACACCCCCAGACTTAGGGCTTCCCCCTTCGTTTCTCTTCTAGTTATCATGTCACGGCTTCAAAAATTACATCCTACAGAGTTATTACTAATAGCCATCCACGATGTATCTTGGCAGCATTATGTGATCTATGATCTTTTTACACGTCCGAGTCTTACTGCAGTTCCAGATCTACCAACTCGGTGGGGAATCAATCCTATAACAAAAAAGCAACCCCACAAAATTCTGACAATCTACAGACGCGCTTTGGGCGGACCGGTAGCAGTGTTGCTCTTCTTCGGCGCCGACACATACCCGCCGAGGGTGCCGTCAGTGTTTGTCACCGCACCCCGAGCATCACGCCGGATGCCAAGTTCAATCAACTTAGCAAACACCTGGGAGAAGTGATCAAAAAATAACTCCTTATCCTCAGCATACCGCTTAGTCCACGGGGCAAATCCTGGATCCGTCGAGAGCGCCATATCAGTCGGCAGCATCATTAATGGCTCCTCGTCCTCCTCGGCATCGGGGTCCTCATACACAAACTGCGTGTAACCCGACGCCAGCTTCCGAGGCTTCCAGTCAAGCTGGAGCAGTAATTTGAAAAAGGAGTTCGAAAATCGCGTCGGATTCGTCACCCACGGGCCCTCAAATCCACTGCGGTCGCCGTGGCATCGGCCCAGGTTGTGTCCACCAGTCAGCGCTACGATCTCCTGGTCATTGAAACCCATGCGGTTGAAGATAAACCGCAGGTGGTCGGCACCCTGGGCTCCATCCGGCAGACGTCCTCGAGGCGGCAGCTTCGTCTCGCCGATCAGATCGGTCCGTCCGCCTTGCCAGGGGATCTCCGGTCCTCCCAGCTCCTTGATCGCCACTACGCCGGCCAGCGTCCACAGATCCGAGTATGTGATCCAGGGGTGCTTCTCCTTAATCGGCTCTAGGAATGCCCGTCCATGCTGCAGACCAGCGTTGGCGGGATCGCCACCCTCTGCTTCGTATCGCATGCCAGCTCCGTTGGAGCCACCGGTATCGGATTCGACGTCGTACGTGCCGGACGAGTGCCTGTTTGAAATCCTTGTCAGTCACATTGCGTTGGCAAGGGCTGATCGGGGTTGATCCGAGCCCCGACCGGGAACTGATAAGGCTTCATGAACCACATGTACTCACCATGCAAGTCGCACTAGGACGGGCCCTGCGCTGCCATCGTCATACCCCGGCTTCTGCAAGATAGCGGCGATGTCCTTGCGGACGGCGTCATAGTCGTGAGTGCTCATTTGTCAGTTATCAGCCGATAACGCGATCCGGAGTGTGTTTACCGGGAAGAAACTAGACTGCTCAACGTCGGCTTCCAGATAGATTTGAGGAGGTTTGGAATTAAAAATCAAAACGTTAAAGAAAGTGAAACGAAAAGAAGGAAAGGAGACGCGAAAAAGAGACCCCGGACTTTCCACATGGAAGAAGAGGTGGATCCGCCGAATCAGCCTACGCCTATTGAAGATGCCGAGGTTGGACTGGGACTTGCTGGTCTGTGAGCATTTGGAATTCGAATGGCCATTTCCAATGAAATTTCTCGGTTTCAATCTAGATTTTTTCCCTTCAAAGACGCCATCACCTTATGCTCAAGTGAAACCACCCGAAAATACAAAAGCGCAAAGTCACAGTCGCCATCCATTGCCGATTTCAGACCTCGGAACTCAGTAGCCGACCTTGTGGGTTCGGATATAGCACTTATTTTGAAAGGCAAATCCGATGCTAACTACTGTAACATTTGCTAGGTCCAGTCGAAATGAGTGTCATTTGGGACAAAAGTCCGATCTCTTTCGCCCTAGTAGTCAGGCCAAACAAAGAAAAGAAAAAAATGTGAAACGTTTTCCGGGAGAGCTCAAAGAAACAAATTCTACGCAAAGAAAACAAGGAAACAAGGAAACAAGGAAACAAGGAAACATCTCAGAAACGTGTCATGGACCAAGATGTCAAAGGTGTCCCTCCTCCCCTTCATCAACCTCGAATTCCCCATCGACATCCTCATTTGAGGCACCCTCCTCAATGATCTTCTTCTTAAAACACGCTTGCAGCATATCCCGCTCCTTTTGTAGACGGGCCACCTCGGCCTGTAACTCTCGTAGCGAGATTCTCAAATTCTGTATCTTCGTCTGATATGCCCGACCCAGCCCGTCTGCCTGGCCTGCCAATCGTGAATACTTCTTCCGGATCCATTTTCTCTCTTTGCGCAGTCGATGTACTTGTCGATCGAGCAAGTGTCGCTGCTTCACATCCGTGTCGCGGATCGTCTGGATCACATTGTCAATCACCCCAGTGTGCCGTGCTTGGAGTGTGCCGTCTTCGGAGTACTTGGCGATGCTGATGAATGTTGCGCAGATGTCTGCCGCGATTGATACCATCAGCTCGCGTTTTGTCGCGGAGGGTTGTTGGTCCAGGTTCTCCAGACGGAGAGCACAGAATCCTGGTTTTAGTTGCTGGCTTGGATGGTCTGGTACCATCGCTGGTGTGGGTGAGGTGGTTGGCTTCTTGGATGACATGCTGAGTGCTTGGTTTCTCGTGAGAGACTCTTCTTGGTGCCTCCGTGTAGTTATGGGGCCTTTGGGCTTGAAGTATCTAGAATCTCAGACATAGAGAGGAAGAAGAATGGAAGAATGAAATGTCTCTAAGATCATGCTCCTCTTAATTATACCTAGCTAACGTTCGGAAGAATTAGGAAATCAGGTGTATTATCTAATTATCTTTCAATCCTAGGTCTTAGCTAACAAACATTACCTTTGATCGGTTTCTTTCTTTGTTGGAGTTAGATTGTTTTTGGCTAGTTTGACGTATGTGTTTTGGGCTTTAAAAGCAATTGTTGATAGAGGTATTCCTGGATTCTATGTTGTAGCGTAGATGCCATCGTATCGCCCACTTCTTTAGTCCTAGCTTTACCCTCAAGGTCAGGCGTCCGAAGCCTTGGGTCCAACACGTTTTATACTGCGTCCGCTATACATTGAGCCGTATCTGCTATTGCGTAACATGATCTCGATATTATTATGCTAATGTTGAGCCAGACAAGAGTGGAATGTATGTAACCCAATCGCCAAATCACAGACTGTTATCCAACCTAGAAACATCCAATTCATCGATAATTTGAAACCAAAAACCATGCAATAATAGTCTACTGTCTTTTGAGTCCATTGTCTTCGCAAATCTTGTGTTTTGGGATCTCACCTCTAATCCAACTAATCCGGCAATAGGGCTTAGGGCCGATCAGACCCCCTCATATTTGCACTGTTTGCACTGCGGGCATCATTTCTAAGCATTTGGACGATCTCCAATTCCAAGCGCAATACATTTTTCCTGTGACAAATCCTCAAGATGTCGCGCATTGAAGAACTTCCAGATGACTTTGATGAGTCGCTCAATCTCAACAAGGCCCCTCCCGAGGTCGCCCAGGGCCTACCCCAGCCCGGGTTTGACGCCTTCGCTCCTACCAACGAAATTCCCTTCCCGATCAACGAGGAGGCATTGAAGGCGCGCCAGACCGACCCCAATGCACCTGAACTGCCGCCGGCTATTGCGGCCATTCAGTCGCATACCTCAGAGGAGTTGATGGCAATGATGAATAAGACTCCTCTGTTCATGACCGATATTGAGAATGCGGGTGATGAGAGTATGTCAGATCATTACTTGGATCTGGTCGTTTGATTTTACTGACAGCGGTTTGTAGAGGGTGAAAATGTCCTCCTAGATGCCCTCCAGGCTCTGCAGAACGAAGGTACCAGAGGTGAGGTTGCGAATACCTTTAAGGGACAAGGCAATGAAGCTGTACAGGAACTCAAGTGGATCGACGCCAAAGAGTTCTACACAAAGGCTATTGCCGTCATTAACGCCAAGGAGGATAAGTGGGAGGTGCCTGAAGATCCCGAGGAAGAGGCGGCGCTGTTGCGCAAATTGGAGGAGGCGTCGCACATCAACCGGGCATTGTGCAACTTGGAGCTAGGTATGTGTTATCATCTTCCTGGCCGCACTTGGACATTGGCTAAAGTATCACATCTGCAGGAAACTACCGTTCTTGTACTCTCGACTGTGCAGCCGCCCTCAAGTTCAACCCTAAAAATGTGAAGGCCTTCTACCGATCCTCCTTGGCACTGTTCAAGTTGGACAAAGTTGCCGAGGCTGAAGATGCTGCAGCCCGAGGATTAGCAATTGACCCAGAAAGCAAAGCTCTCAAAGAATCTGCCAAAAAGATTGCCGAGCGCAAGGCCCTTTTGGAACGTGCTGCCGCGAGAAAGCAGGCCGAAGAAGAAAAGGTGCGCAAGCAGAAGATGGTCCTCAGCACCGCCCTGCGCGCCCGTCAGATCAGAACCCGCAAAACCGATCAGCCTCCGGATATGGAAGATGCCAAGATCCGTCTTGTCCCTGATCCTCTCTCGCCGGAGAGCACGATCGAGTTCCCGACCGTTTTCCTTTACCCCATGGAAGCCCAGTCAGACTTTATCAAATCGTTTTCTGAGATGAACGCTATCGAGGATCACTTGAGTTACATATTCCCTCTTCCTTGGGACACCAAGAAGGAATACACCGTTGAAGGTGTTGAATGCTTCATGCAGACTGTCTCTGGTGGTTTGATCAAGGCTGGCAAGAAGTTGCCTTTGTTACAAATTCTCTCTGGTGGTAAGGTCGAGGTTGTGGATGAGCTTGTCAGCATCCATGTCGTTCCACTTTCCAAGACCGGTAAATACATTGCAGAGATGAAGGCTCGGAAGACTGGCTGAGCGGCATTTCATTAATGAAGCCCACCTCTTAACCTACCAAAGATCCCGTGGATTTCCTCTGGACCTTGTTTCCACAGTATCATCACACCCCTGGAAGGAGTGCTGCCCCCCTGCCCATCAACCTGTGGGTCTGGACTTTAGCCACAACAGTGGTACCTAACCACTCTTGACGCTCAGCTCTGGTCCTACTGCGGAGCAACCTGAGGTTATAAAATGTATGATACCCTTTGAAAGTGCCAGTCATATGTACATAGATGCATTTGCAGATTCTTATAGATGTCATAGGCAACAATGCCTCCGCTGGGAACAAGAGGTCCCACCTCTGATCATCATCCACCTTCCATGGCCATCTGAAAATTATGCAAGGTTGGCCCAGATTAGTTATAGCCGTCATTTGAGTGACCTTGACCGTACGATGTGGATCGCAAGTCATGATTGCATGGTGTGTGCTAAGCGCTAATGTACGTTCACTCATCCGGAAGAGGGGATGTGCACCTGTCTAGCCTGAATGAGAGCATTGTGGGAGCGGTCTTCCTGAATCACCAACCTCGTTCGGATATAGATTCGGCGACATTGTAGTTTCAAAAGATGGTCAAGATGCACAGACAAGTCGAAGGGGGGAAAAAAAAGGTTAATCGACAGACAGCCTTGAAGATTCCCCGGATTTGCGGAAGCGGAGAACAGTATTTTGACCCGGTCTCTTTCTTCAGCTTCATGCAGAAAAGATGAAAAAAACAATGACTCTCTTTTGTCCGGAAGATAATACGGAATTTGCTCCGCTGGCTCTCTATTCGTTTCTGTGTCATGTCCCCCAGGTGGCGCTGGACCCGGTGTTAGTTATCCCTGGCTAAAGTGACGAATTCTATGCACGAACTAATGATCATTGGGCATCTAAGTAGTGATCAAGCCCCTGCAACTATTCCAAAAGGCCGCGACAGTTCCGCCACGGTCTATCGGTCCGGAAAAGTTGACCATGTTGCCAAATGGGACACTACCAAGTGCCGCGGCCCTGGAAATTGCAAGACCCTAACAATTTTAGCTGTCGCTGTTTATCTCCAATTATTTAAAGAGCATGACCCTTTCGATTCCTCACTTCAGGTCGGAATTGTGATCAATTCAATTCGTGACGTTGACAATCTTTTCGCCATGGTTTACTTCTCTACTATTGCGCTGGCAGTGGCCAGTGTTCTTCCACAGCTGTATGGTTGATCCTTCAATTCCCAGTATGCTTGAACGGTGATTGATGTCCATTTCGTTTCCATAGGACCCAAGGAGTTGGCTTAAATACTGCTGCCGTTGCAAAGGGAAAGCTATACTTTGGATCAGCGACTGATAACCCCGAGTTGACCGATGCTGCTTACCTTGCCCAATTGAGCAACACAGATGACTTCGGTCAAATTACTCCCGGCAATGCGCAAAAGGTTGGACAAGTCTTGCGGTGCCATTCTATTCTTTGCTAATTGTTACTAGTGGGATGCAACCGAGCCATCTCAAAACACCTTCTCCTACACCAAAGGAGATGTCATTGCCAACCTTGCTGCTACAAACGGTCAAAAGCTGCGATGCCATAATCTGGTTTGGCACAGCCAATTGCCTAATTGGGGTCAGTACCGTTCTCTCCAATGCCTTTGAATGCGTGAAAAGGATCTCACGCGGAAATAGTCTCAAGCGGCTCTTGGACTAACGCCACTCTGCTGGCTGCCATGAAGAACCATATCACCAACGTGGTGACCCACTACAAAGGCGAATGCTATTCTTGGGATGTAGTCAACGAAGGTCAGTGCCGACCCAAAGAGACTATGAGACCATCATCGTCAAGTAGCTAACAGATAGATGACTAGCTCTGAACGAGGACGGTACCTATCGCAACAATGTCTTCTACCAACACATCGGCGAGGCATACCTTCCCATCGCATTTGCAACTGCAGCTGCCGCAGACCCAGATGTCAAACTCTACTACAACGATTACAACATCGAATCAGCCGGTTCCAAGTCGAACGGTGCCCAAAGAATCGTCAAGCTCGTGCAGCAGTATGGCGCCAAGATCGATGGCGTCGGTCTACAAGGACACTTCATTGTCGGAAGTACTCCTGGTCAGAGCGCGCAAACTACCAACTTGGCCGCATTCATAGCCCTGGGGGTCGAAGTTGCCTACACTGAACTTGACATCCGTATGACTCTGCCCTCAACTGCTGCCTTGCTGACCCGGCAGTCGGCCGACTACCAGAGTACCGTTGCGGCGTGCGTGGCAAATGCAAAGTGTGTTGGTGTTACTCTTTGGGATTACACTGACAAGTACTCCTGGGTTCCTAATACGTTCCCCGGTCAGGGTGATGCGTGTCCTTGGGATGCGAACCTGGGGAAGAAGCCGGCCTATGCGGGCATCTTGGCTGCTCTGGGGGTTACGTCTTCTCCCACTTCCACTACTACCTTTATAACCACCACCACTACTGCCAATCCGGGTGGGACTGTCGTCCCTCTCTATGGTCAGTGTGGTGGCTCAGGCTGGACTGGAGACACCATTTGTGCAAGTGGAACCTGTAAATACGTCAGTGAATGGTATTCGCAGTGTATGTAGGTTTACCAGGGCAATGATTCCTGATGAAAAGGGGGGGGGACTAGGTCGGCCGGTGCCCATCCACCGTTGTGTCCCCATCTCTGGGAATTTCACAAACTCGAGCTCATTGCTGATTACAAGTTTGACTGGTTCCTTTCTTTGAAAGAGGCATCGCATTGCCTTGGGATTACTCTGTGAAGAATTATTCGGGTAGAGTTGTCTTGTTCCAGTGCAACACGAACAAAATTCATTATCGTAAACATTATATTGAACCGATCCATGCTTAGGCACTCAATAGTTGAAATAGTAGGGATGGCAGCAGGGCATCATGGTCTCTGTTGACAAGTTTTCTCTCGAGGTCTGGGTAATTGGAACGCCTGCATCCGGGGATATGTTAGGAGCACCATAGAACTGCATCGGGGCTGGTGAAATCCCAGAAATGCAAGGGAAGAGATAGTCCGTCATGTTAACGGGACATGTCTGATCGATCAAATGCACCCCGGCAGATAGTAGTTCGTGTTTTGACCTCAATTCCAATGGCGACGTTGACATTTCGGTGGTTCGGTCGATGGACTGGTAGTGGGTGTTTGAGCCCAAATGCATTGCTGGGCTATAAGGATTGGAATGATCATAAGTTGGTGCACTCGGCAGGTCTCCGGGGGTGACTTGGGTTATATCAACGCCAGCGATTCCGTCGCTGCACTCAGACTCAACGATCTTCTGAGAAGGCGCTAGTTCACTTGGCGAGCTTTGTCCGCTGGATGTGTCTTCTACCATTTGAGGAAGATTGTTGCGAGATATACACACAGAATTTCCATCTATATAACACCTGTGAGTCTTGCAGAGTGTCGAAGATGATGCGAGGAACTCTTTACCTGAAAGCCCATCGAGAAATTTTTCCTCCTCCTCTCGAACTCGATATGCCTCGTCCAGGATTTGTAACCGTTCAACCGGAAGGATTTGCCGACGAATGGGCTGATCGCATTGTTTTAATCTGGCAGTTGTGATTCCGTGGGATTCGCGCATCTCGCAGAGCATGTGCACCAAGAGTCGAATGCGTTCTGATTATTGTCAGCTGAGTAGGACCTTCGAAGGCATCATTCTCTCTTACCAACTTTTGGAAGATGATCCGGCTCCCTATGGCTCACTCCACGCGGCCACCACGGTGGCTTTGTTGCATCTGGATCCAGCTGTTGGGTTCTCCCTTCAACAATCTTCCGTCCATTGTATGGGTAGTTGACTTGCTTGCGCGGTTCAATTAATTTGATGTAGGCTTTGGCGATAATTCGACAGTTTGTTTGTTGCAGGTTTTGAAAGATTTTCTCATAGTAGAGACGCACGAGACCTCTGTCTTTCACAGAGATAGAGGCTCTTTGGTGTGGAGCCAGGTTGAGGTTTCGACCAAAATCCGTCTTGGGTTGTGAGCTGGCTTGTAGAGACCAAGAATCGCTTGACGGCCACATTTTTGGCTGGAATGAGGACTCCGATTGAGCTAGGGCTAGTTTCCGGTATCGACCACCCAGACCCATTTCACTATGGGCCACCCCCTGTGACGGGGCACAGTTGTTGTTGCTAAATGGGGGGCCCCCACTAGACGGCACTGAAAGATCAGGAGAAACTGTTCTAAGATCAATATTTTATCTTCAGGTGGAGTACCTTGAAACATTACATGGACTGTGTGTTGCGTGGGCTTCTCTCGACATTGCCACTGCTCTGAGGAATTCGCCCATGACCCTAGGAGAGAGAATGGTCTCGCGGCTCTCTGAAATGGAATCGGAGGCTCGTTGACAAAGATTCCCATCCTTATCCATATAGACCATCGCAAAATGGGCATATTCAGGTTCCTCTGGGGATCGCCTAGACATCTTTTCCGAGGGCCTGGCTAGAGTCAGCTCTGTCCAAGTGATTGGTCAGACAAAAAAGGATAGAAATACCCTATAAGATGAATCTAATGGCTGGCCTCAGGTTTTTATATGACAACCTCGCAAGGTTTAGCCTCCAGACCACAAGGGGAAGGGGAGGAAGTGGGGGTTTTTTCTACAGGAAATTTCTGATGGGAAGAAGTGACCAAGTGAAGACTACGCGGCGATGGTCACACAATAGTAAGGCCTCTCGCCAGCTTCCGCCGATCAGTTAGTACCTCACTACTCCATTAAAGTGCTCTAACATGAAGATTTCTCAACAGCTGTGCTAATTTCAGGTGTACCAACTACAGCGTACCATGTATGTAACTAACTACATGTAGCGCGCTAAAAGTGGAGGTCTAACTTCAAAGTACTAGTGGAGACTCGCAAAGCACTCCGTACTTTGATCTGCAAAGCGTCAAAAAGCAGATATAGTATCGAAACCGAGTAAACTAGGGCCTGGACTCGGTTTTGCGGTCTCGGTTGCCAATGGGCAGGGCACTTCCCCGGACGACATGATCCATTTGAACTTGACAATGCCATTCTCAGCTCCGTATGTCATGGTGTATCAACGGCATGCCATACGCTTACGCTATGGGGTGGAGTGGTTAGGATACTTTCACACAAAAGTCCCACGATTCAGTCCATTGAAACATGCCCCTTAGAACCTGCCGCTAGACGTTTTGCTGCAATATTGATCATACCACAGCAGTGCAGGAAGAAACTTGTGGCAAGTTGCTGCAGGATGAGAATAATCATCACCCTCGATTGGTCGATTGGTCGATTGCCCCGTTGGACCTAGGGGTGAAGATCAATTGATAATGGACGTAAAACAGGGGGAAATAAATCGACACATGACAAGAAGAACCAACCCCCCCCCCCCTTTCCCTCCTCCCCCCATATTATAGACCAACATTCATCCACAGAAATCTTCCACCCCAAAAAGATCAGTCCGCAGGCATCTGTGGCGAACTTGTACCCACCGGGGTTGCCTTCGGCCAACCACAGTATTCCCATCGTAAATGTATCACTCTTCCCATCTCCTTGCTTATCCTCCATGGACTAAGGGGCAGGATAAAGTACCGATTAAGCATCACGTCCCTCCAGTACTAACAAGGGTGGTGGATCCCACCGTTTACCCATCTTGATGAGTTAGAAGAATACGGGCACATTGTAACGCGTGGGATACTCCGTAGATGTCACCCTGTCACTAGAGTTGTCTATCCTATCACGGGCTAGTCAGCTTCACAAGATCACTCAAGAGGTTTTGATCGACTCCATCGTTGTCGTCATGAGTCGCAGGGAGTTGAAATACAAAGTTTAATCAAATACCGAAGGCCCAACTTTGGAATCCCGAACGAATTTACCGGCCGGCCGGGCTTAACTCGGTCTTGTCTCAAACGCCTCAAATTCAGCCCTAGAGATCTGCACATCAAATATCGACCGGGCTTGCTTCTTGTCTGAAAGGCCCCAAATTTAGACCCGAGGCTTTCAAGTGATCGACATGTACTGGCTGAAAGGGGGAAAGCACCTTGGAATGCGAACCCAACAATATGTAAGAGACGATTCAAATTGCCACTGTGCTGTTTCGCTGAATACAAGCGTGAATTTGGTACTATGTGCGAAGTACGGAGTATGTTGTACGAGGTTCGTACGTATGGAGTACCTTGTAGGTGCATGGGCCTTATCTGTACGGAGTACCCGTACTCCGTGGTTGTTAAATATAACACAACCCTAGACTTGCTCGGTCAAACCCCGATTCCCAAGTGGAGCCACTCAAATTCTGTGAACGAACGCCCGATTAGCTTCACAATTCTCGGATGTTCCCTTGTGGGGAAGAGGGTGTTCTTTTTTTGGGATCGAGTCGAGGTTTGGTGGGGGGGAGAAGAGCCGGGGGGGGGAATATATCTGGGCATATATTGAGGTTGATGGGCATTCGAGTGTGTGCTTTCTCATACAACATAGACATTTTACCATGAACAGAGTCCATACCATACGAGTCACGGAGAACATTCACCCAAGAACTCCGTTCATGCACTGGGAACCGTTTTCGGGAGCAAAAGTAAAGTTTATCGTCGGGAAGGAGATTGAGTTTAAAGTTTGGACTCGTCCATTGGCCTTGGGACATTCGTACCGAGTACGGAGCACGGAGTACTCATATCGATCTACCAAGTACGAAAGGGTTGTCAGTTACCATAGCCCCAGTCGCATAGACCACGCATATCCGACTTGCATTTCCTGGAAATGGGGTCCCCTCATCGAGCTTGTGGCGCTAGATGACGCACTGTGGGGTCCACAGTTCCTCTTTTGGCGTTCTACATGTTCGTAGCCTACAGCTTATGCATGAAGAACTATGCACAAGAACAGATAGCCGCTTATACGGCCTTGTCTGGTCTTTGAACTTGACTTTTAACCGTTTTTTTTAAAAAAAAATTTTTTACGTGAAAGCAGCCAAAAAGAAGCACAATGAGTGGAAGAGACTTTTCCATGGATGACCAGGGGGCTATGTGTGTTTCTAAGTAGGCTAGTTCAAATTTTTCAAAAGTTGGTCTCCCCATTCATACCCAGATTTCAATGGTACTCTTTATCCCCTACAGCTCGTATACGCTGCACTCGCACACATTGGTGGTGTGGACCACTTAAGGAAGCTGCACCGATTGAACTTAAACTTTGGTCATGAGATCGTCTTGCGATCAACCCCTTATAGGGAGATTGTTTGATGTGTCGCTTAAAGGGTCATTCCTGACACATCAATTGGAGGGTTTGTCAATCCTTCCTAGAATTCGTCAAACCCTTCGACCCCCTTTCCCATGCATGTGCTTCATACTGTGTGCCCAAATCCCCGAACGTGATTAACGCTGTAACCACAGAGCGTTAGGCTGCAAGCTCTAGAAATACAGCGAAGTGCTAAACTTGGTTAAGAGCTTGTCATGACGCTCCCTTTGACAACCTTGCCGGGAAACTCAAGGAGCCTTTGTCCGCATGAGCAATCTTCCCAGCACTGCCCCGTAGATGTGAGCAGTCGGCAGTCTCAAATGAGGGGTTCTAACGACAGTATGGACCAAAGTACGCCGTGCCTCTAATCAATTTGGCAGTGAGGTATGAATACCTACATGTAGGAATGAGAGACCGAAAGGCGCTATGAGAAAAACGTCAAAGGGCAGGAAGCAGTGTCTGACCGAAGCTGGCGTAGGTGGAAGCCTATAGATCAATTTTCACCAGTCATACTTGACCCATCATTTTATGTTGGATGACATTTTGGCCATGTTGCCCTCGGGTATTCTGTTTTTTTTTGCCTAGGCTAGATTTTCACACATCTGGGGGGAACCGGGATGCAAAAAAGATATGGTACCTAGTGAGTACATAGTTATGTGATTTCTTCTATATAACGTGTCTAATATCATCTCTAACCAATTCGATTTGTACTAGGACTATTCAACCCTGGTTTTTTTCCATTAAAGATAGAGGCAACGTAAACCAAGGATTCCTAAGTGATGCGAAAAAAGGAAGCTGAGTGTCGAAACATGTGATGGTTTTCCTCCAGAAATTTTAGGCATCAAGTGGTGTTGCCTAAGGCTTGAAAAAAAAATGGGAACCCCGTGACCGTCAAATGTCACTTTCATTGTGGACACCAGTAACTCCCTCTAAACATCAAGTACAACATACACTCTTAGAACTCTGAATCACGAAATCAAGTTTCAAGCTTGAGATTTTGCCACTATCGTTCCAACATCATTCCTTCGAGCCTGTGTCTCCACCATTCCAAAAGGGCTCCGCTGCATTAGCCCGCCCACGGCTGATCGCTCTGAATCTGGGTACCAAAATCTGTCTTGCTTCGAGTCGCAGTTCGCTGTGGAGGCTGTGTCCCTAATACATCCTTGCCTTCTGGTTGAGCCAATCACCGCTGTCTTTTTTGTTCCTAGCAGTTTCGGGTCTCGCCAAGTCTCCTCCATCCCTGGATTCCTGGTCAACAGGCGCCGTTGGGCCTTCACCGTCTCGTCCGTGCGGCCATCGTAATTCAGCCACAGTAGCTTCCCTAAATCGAGGGAATCGCAGGAGAAAAGAAAATTTACAGGGCGGAAGAATTCCTGAAGCCACCCCTCTACCGTGATGGTCCCTCATTACACAATGGATCCCAATACTGGTTATCCCGCAGGCTATCCCGTCCCGACTCAGAGCCCCCAAAACCAACAGATGTCTTTTTACCCTAATGCTGTTCCCCCATACCCCCAATCAAAGACACCGTCGGCTCAGCATTTTGGTGCTATGCCCATGCAGCCTGGTCCTGGCGGAGCTATGATGCCTTCAGGTTTCCAACAAGCTTCCGGTTCGTTGCCCCCTCTTCCTTCTTTTTTGGTTGTTATCATTGGCACGGCGCACCTGTCACTCTTATCCGGCGGGGTGGAATTGTTGCTCAGATTCCTGGGGAAAGGAAGGGGTCTCGTGAGGCTCAACGTCGGATTGAATAATTTCTACTCGAGCCCCTCTCCCCCCCTCTCAATGCTTGTATCACCCGCCCCTAAGACAACCGGCTTAGATGAAATTTGCCGTGTCGCTAATCACCCTTCGCACTGTCTGTCTTTGACCATTTGTCTCCTATCTACTTTTACCTAATGTCCAGGTCACTTTTGTTTTGGTTGGGATACTTTTGGACTAACCATTTTCTTAATCATAATAGCAGCACCTATGGATAGTTTCTCAGCGCCCTACACTCAGACCCCCATCCCTACCCTCATGGGCCAGTTTGTCCCCGCTCAAGGCACATCCGGCGCAAACATGCCATCTCAAGTAGCGCAGACCTTCTCTCAAAACATGGCTTCCATATCAGCGAACAACCTACTCGGCACACAGCCCAAACCCCCTTCTCAAATGAACTCACCCCAAACCGGTGCTTCTCCCGCAGTTCCAAACCAGGCACAGGCCCAAGCCCAAGCTCAGGCTCAATTTGCAGCGCGTGAAAAGGCCCGCGTCACGGCCCTCCTCGATATCAACTCAGCCTTGTTGCAAGAGGTGGTGAATCTACAAGCGGCCGGCAAGGCTGGCCCCGCCTCCAACCCAGATACAAATTCACCGTCGTCAGAGCAACTGGATGCATCCAAAGCCCACCAGAAGCCAAGCCCTGAATACATTGAGTGCATGCGACGCCTACAAGCCAATCTAGCCTACCTCGCGACTATCGCCGATCGAGCGAAGAAGGCGGGTGGAGTCGTGCCCCAGACGCCAGCGATCATGACACCGCCTCCCAACCTTCCCACTGTGAATGAGCTATATGCTAGACTTAACGAGCTCTTCTCGCGATCTGCAAAGGCCTCTACTTCGCAAAGACCAAGTCCTCCGTCCATGCAAGGAAATGGTGGACCTAGCCCTGGCGCTATGGCCGAGTCGATTATCTGAAGCAACAAATGGGGAAATATGCAATCCTCCGCGTGAGAAGGCATGTCACAGATTAAATCGAATTCCTGATTTGTCCGCCGCCGCGAATCAGGCGACCATGGTTTGGGCCACCAATATGGGCTTTGCGGGAGGCGCCAGCTCGTCCTCTTCCACGCTATGTTTTTAAAAAGCATGGACCTTCCACCATGCGCACCATCTCTGCCGGCTGAACCCCCGAATGCATAACCAGTTGAGAACTTTGAAGCAGCCATGATCTGTGTGATACCTGACTGGGAAATATCCTGGGCTCCCCGAGTTCCCCTCTTTGGAAGAGTGGGAGCATTTGGCAAGAACGAATCTCGTGTTGAGTCAGTCGGGCTACCCAGCAACCTCCAGATTTGTACATTAGTTGAATGTAACGTAACCTCTGATGTATCCTATTTATATGTAAATCAGGCAACGAGGTACTCCAAGTCATCTTCACTATTAGGCGCAAGAGGCGGCCCTGAGATCAAGTCGTGCAACCACATAACCGCCTATTCTCTCCGCTTTCTTGAAGCTTGACACCCTCTTGTTTTCAAGGCGCAGCAGTATTTCAATTCTGGGTGTGTAAATGTGCACCAATGTTCAGCCCGACATGACTTCAACCTATCAGAACATAAAGATCATAGACAGGTGTCCTCCGTAGGTCTTCGGTAAATGGTGGCCTGGCTTTCTGCCCGCAACAATCCAAAGATGTGAGAAGCAAGGCCCTCAGCCAATTATATGACGCTAGTACTTCTCCGCCTTTGGGACCTTGTTGGAGGGTACGTTTTGCCTTGGATGTCCAGGCGCGTACATATTTTCCCCAATCATCTGGTGGATGTATTGTTCTTTGTTGGCTGTATGCAGAAGGAGCTTGCGAATTGCCACCATCTCCCCTTTGTCCTCTTATCGAGCTTCAAAACAAACATTCACTCCTTTGAGGTCTCTAGCCACTGATCGGTCATTTGCGTCACATTCCCTAACTCCGCATCGTCCGCACCTTCACGTGTTTCAATCGTCTTGTATCCCATTCTCTGCTGCCCCGTTAGTCTCAAGAGGCTCCCGGACGATCTCATTTGTTGCCAAGCTCCTAAATCCCCGTCCATACCACCTATACACCTCGCATCTACTCACTATGGATGGCAAGGGCGACATGGGTGCAAAGCGAAAGCGTAGCACAGCGGCCAATGCTTCCGAGCATCCCAACAAGCAACTCAGACCTGAGCCCGCAGTCTTGACTCCCGACGATTCGACACCTGCCAACGGAACCATCTATGAGGTCGAGGAGGATGTAGATGAAGCTCCCTCGCCAGTCGCCATCCCCGCTACAACAGACTCGCCTGAATGGCAGGCTACCATCGAGAGGGTCGTGAAATGCGCTGTCTCCATTCACTTCTGTCAGACCTGTTCGTTCGATACGGAGCTCTCCATGTCCAGTCAAGCAACTGGTTTCGTGGTGGATGCAGAGCGTGGCTACATATTGACCAATCGCCACGTTGTCGGTGCTGGTCCTTTCTGGGGATACTGTATATTTGACAACCACGAGGAAGTAGGTCGATTCTGCGCCATGGTCCGGTCAACCCACTTGCCCAGTTGCTAACCAAATTGTCCCAACCACAGTGCGATGTTCAGCCTGTATACCGGGACCCCGTTCATGATTTCGGAATCTTGAGGTTTGACCCGGCGAAAATTCGATATATGGATGTCACTGAGCTTAAGCTCCAGCCAGATGGAGCGCGAGTTGGCACGGAAATCCGTGTTGTGGGAAACGACGCTGGAGAAAAGCTGAGCATTCTGTCTGGTGTGATCAGTCGACTGGACCGAAACGCACCGGAGTATGGAGAGGGCTACTGTGATTTCAACACAAACTACATCCAGGCCGCAGCTGCAGCCAGTGGTGGTAGTTCGGGAAGTCCAGTGGTCAATCTCGCTGGCCATGCAGTTGCTCTGCAGGCTGGTGGTCGAGCTGACGGTGCTGCAACAGACTACTTTTTGCCGCTGGACCGCCCGCTTCGCGCACTGGAGTGTATCCGCCAAGCTCAGCCTGTCACTCGTGGTACAATTCAAACACAATGGGTCTTGAGGCCTTTCGACGAGTGTCGCCGTCTTGGTCTGACCCCCGAGTGGGAGGCTGCTATACGTGCCGCATCACCCACTGAAACAAACATGCTTGCAGCGGAGATCATTCTTCCAGAGGGGCCCGCAGATGGCAAGTTGTTGGAGGGAGACGTGCTTATCAAGGTGAATGGAGAGCTCCTTACGCAGTTTGTTCGTCTCGATGACATCCTTGACTCGAATGTCGGCGAATCTGTCAAGTTGCTTGTTCAGAGAGGCGGCCAAGACGTTGAGGTCGAGTGTCAAGTGGGAAATCTTCATGATATCACCCCCGATCGCTTCGTGACAGTTGCTGGCGCCAGCTTCCATAATTTATCATACCAGCAGTCACGTCTGTATGCCATTGCCACACGCGGAGTCTATGTTTGTGAGTCAGCGGGCTCTTTCAAGCTGGAGAACACAGTGGCAGGGTGGATCATTGATTCGATTGACAAGCGGCCCATCCGTAACCTTGATGAGTTCGTTGAGGTCATGAAGAACATTCCCGATCGCACTCGCGTGGTGATCTCCTACCGCCATATTCGCGATCTCCACACTAAGGGAACTAGTATCATCTACGTTGATCGTCACTGGCATCCTAAGATGCGGATGGCGGTCCGTAATGACGAGTCTGGTGTCTGGGATTTCTCCGACATCGCCGATCCCATTCCTGCTGAACTCCCTATCCCAAGAGAGGCCAACTTTATCCAATTAGACGGTATCAGCCAGCCTGCTGCTGCCGAGATTGTCCGTAGCTTCGTGCGTGTATCATGCATCATGCCCTTGAAACTAGATGGATATCCGCAAGCAAAGAAGACTGGATTTGGACTGGTCATCGATGCCGAGAAGGGTCTAGTGATAGTATCACGAGCCATTGTTCCCTACGATCTTTGCGACATCAACATCACTGTGGCCGACTCCATCATTGTCAGTGCTAAGGTTGTCTTCCTACACCCGCTTCAGAACTACAGCATCATCCAATACGACCCCAGTCTCGTCAAGGCTCCGGTCAAGAGCGCCCAGCTCAGCACTAACTATATCAAACAAGGCCAAGATACTATCTTTGTCGGGTTTAATCAAAACTACCGCATTGTCGTAGCCAAAACTACCGTCACTGATATTACAACCGTGTCAATCCCCGCCAACGCGGCTGCCCCTCGTTACCGAGCAATCAACCTCGACGCTGTCACTGTGGATACTGGGCTAAGTTCACAATGTTCCAACGGTGTGCTTGTCGGCGAAGACGGTGTGGTACAAGCTTTGTGGTTGAACTATCTCGGTGAGCGCTCTACAAGCTCTCACAAGGATGTCGAATACCACCTGGGCCTTGCCACTCCATACCTGCTTCCCGTGATTTCCAAGATCCAGCAAGGGGAAGTCCCAACATTGCGAATTTTGAACATGGAAAGCTATGTTGTGCAGATGAGCCAGGCTCGCATCATGGGCGTTTCCCAGGAGTGGATTAACAAGGTCACTGAGGCTAACCCATCGCGCCACCAGCTGTTCATGGTACGCAAGGTTGACAGCCCTCCGGCAGGCATCATCCCCGACCCCAGCACCAGCTTCCAAGAAGCCGACATCATTCTCACCCTAGATAACCAGATCATCACCCGCGTTTCAGAGCTAGATGTCATGTATGAAAAAGAATTCCTGGATGCACTGGTCATTCGAAATGGCGAGGAAGTGCGCATCCGCGTCCCCACAGTGCCAACTCGGGATATTGAGACAGATCGTGCCCTTGCCTTCTGCGGTGCTGTTCTACAGAAGCCCCACCATGCTGTTCGCCAGCAGATCTCCAAGGTCCACAGCGAGATCTACGTGAGCGCGAGGGTGAGTTTTGATGCCTCAGTTCTATCCATTGGGATGTCACTAACCCTATTCTTCAGAGCCGTGGTTCCCCCGCTTACCACTACGGTCTTGCACCCACCAACTTCCTCACTGCTGTCAACAGTGTCTCGACTCCAGACCTGGACAGCTTCATTCGGGAAGTCCGCAAAATTCCTGACAACGAGTACTTCCGTATTCGTGCCGTGACCTTCGACAACGTCCCCTGGGTTGTCACCATGAAGAAGAATGATCACTACGTGAGTCCTTTCCCCTACACTTATCCACCGAAACAAAAATCTTCAAACGGCGTGCTAACCTTCAACAGTTCCCCATGTCCGAATATGTCAAGGATCCCACCACAGAATCTGGCTGGCGCACCATCTCCTACGAAACTCAAATTGGGGTGGCACCCGACGCTGTGAATCTCAACCCCGATGCCATGGATGAGGCTGCAGATGGAGGAGCTAGTGAAATCGAACCGGATATGCCGTAAGTGCTGGGCCTGATGACGATATCAACTGCATGGAGGCTAGAGAGTCTTATATTATGTTTTTCTCGGCGCTGCCGGGGGGGTAGGTTCGGACTGGGGTTTTCATTTGGACTTTTTTTTTTCATGTGTTTTTCACTGCCATCTCATGGTGTATGTCCCCCAGATGGGGGGGGGGGGGGGGCGTAGGTATATGACCCAGTATAAAATCATTAGCAATGCACATGAGCATAATCTTTGGGGGTTTCCTTTTGGAGTAGGGTTGCACAGGGTTAGATTTATAGGTTGGGCTGTCAAAATGTCCTGCTATGATTCCATGATCTCTAGGGAGGCAATTTCCAGTTATAGTGATCTTTGATAACTCGAGAACCCCTTCGGATCTTGTAGAGGATCTGTTTCTTTTGACGGGTGGGGTTCTGGAGGGTGTCTCTGTCTCCGTGGTAGATGTCCCATTAATTATGTGGTGAACAGTCATGTCAGACCCCTACCCTCGGGGGCTCTGTGGGCAATAAAACACTTGGTTCTTGCTTTTCTGGTACATCAGACAGCCAGTGAATAACAGGTTGGGCATCAACACCTGAGGGATGCACTGTGGGTGTAAATATGTCACCACATTTTTTTATCAGATACGACAAAGAAAAAAAAATGGACGCCTCTTTAAAACTGGCAAGGAATTATTGAACATGAATAAGGAAATTGAAAAGAAGGTTGAAAGATTCAGAAGAGATAGGAGCCTGCAAAGATCACACTAGACAATGATCCGAGAGGAGAAAAAAAAGAAAACAGTCGTGCATCATCCGTGAATCGAACACGGGCCTCGTCGATGGCAACGACGAATTCTACCACTAGACCAATGATGCTGGTTGATGTAAGAGTGAGTCAAATGATGCAACTTAACGCTGCGCCCAATCTCAGCCCTACTTCTTCACAGTCCAGGTGAACTTCAACACAATGCCTGCGTGAGAATATCCAAGGTCACAATAATAATTCATTAACCCCATGTACCGATGGATACAACTATGCAGCTGCTCTCTAGGACCATAAACAGAAGTGACCCCCAAGAATAATACAACAAAACGCCATCAAGTAGATGATACACCCGTAACACCAAACCATGTCCACCACCAAATCCATAACCCAAAAGAAGGCCACCGCCATTCAATGTACAGACCAATTTACAATCCATGAAAGAAAAAATTCACACCGTTATGCTGATCACTAGCTGTTGAAGCTCCAGCCACCATTGAGCCGCAACCGCTGTCGTTCGGCAACATCCTTCCGAATCTCCTCTTGGGTCAGTCCATCGGGCCCGGACCAGTTCGCACTGCTGGTGCGGTCACGGTATTTCTTGACCTTCTTATCTGCCTTGAAGGTGTCTTCGAGAGAGAATGGCGCTATTGGCCCGAAGATCGAGTCAACTTCCATACCATCCTGCTGCCGAAGAAGACCCTCCAGCTCCTTCGCCTGTGCCCACTTGGGTACTGGGAACATCTCGGAGTCGGAGTCGTCATCATCTTCACTATCAGTGTTGATCTCCGGCAAGTGAATATTCTCACCACTGGGGTACTTAGGAGATGGCTTGGCTTGTGGGCGCTGGGCGGAGTTAGGCGCAGCCTTGTGGGTGCTTGGTGGAGGAGGTGCATGATTGGGCTCGGCAAACGGTATCTTGCCGTTCGTGTACGTGACTATCGGGTGAGCGGGTCGCTGAGGTTGGGCATTTCTGTAACTGGAAGAGGTCGACTGGGGTGCAATGGAAGACTGTCCGCGACCAAGGGTAGAAGGCTGGATGGATTTCCAAAGTCAATGATTCGTTCGTCAGGAAATTCAAGAGATTCGGTATTACTAACCTTTCTAATATTCGATTGACGGATAGGCTGCGCCATCGTGCGCACAGGTGGCAAAGGGTTGTACTCATCCTCCGTCTTTCGCCGTTTAAACTCGCCAGTTGATTGCACGTTGCTGGGTTTAGAGGGCGCAGGTCGGTGGTTGGCTTCATCGTTGGCCCTCTTCGGCGGTTTGGCAGGGTTAGGCGCTGGTGGGTTGATGCTGCGGCCACCGAATGGCTGAATAGAGCTACCCAAGCGAGAAGCAGGGCGGGAAGCGCCCAAATCACTTCGCTGAGAAGACTGAGAATATGACTGCTCGTGCTGTAGGATTGGCCCCTGACGACTGTTAGCAGGGTGGAAAACCCCCGATTGACACAACGCGCTTACCTCACTGAGTATCTGCTGGCTGCCTTGCCTCCCATGCTTCCGAGCATTCTCTGCTTGTCGCTTCTTGATTGCCTCCATACGGGCGGCTTTGTTTGGATCCTCCTGAGCCGACCGGTCGCGGCGCTCCCGTTCAGCCTGAAGGTCCCTTTCAGCCTGGCGCTCCCGTTCAGCTTCAACACGACTCCTCATCTCCTGCCGACGGGCCTCTTCCTGTTGTTGCTGCTGGGAAGCACGTTTGCGTTCTAGCTCACGCTTTTGTTCTTCCTTCCGGCGTGCCTCGCGTTCTTGCTCCTTCTTGCGGTCGCTGGCGACTTGAGCCTTACGCTGGGCTTGTGTTTGACTGGAAATAGAGCTCTTGAAGCTGCTTGCAGAAGATGCTGTATGCAAGGATGTATTGCTACCCTTCTTTTTCAGAGTTGGCTTCGAGGTAGGAGCAGAGGACGCAACCAATTCCTGAGTACTCGAAGACGATGGGACAGGGATTTGTTGACGAGACATGGTGCTGCCAACACGAATAGACATGGGTTGAGGCGTTGGGCGTTTCATGGGCTCGCGAGTGGGTTTGAGAGGACGGCGGTCATTTTGCTTCGGTTGAGGGATGGCAAATCTCGAGTTAGACTCCTGAGCCAATTCAGGTTCGCGGGATTGTTGACGCTGTGAGTGGGGGGCCTTGTGTGCTGCTGAGCCTGACCTTTCTTCTGGCTCGACCGAGGAATTTTCCTGAGCGGCTTTAAGCTTAAGGGCTCTTTGCTTTTCTTGTTCCCGAGCTCTTTCAGTACGCTCTTCTTCTTCTTCTTCTTCTTCTTCTTCTTCTTGATCCCCACGCTCCTGCTCTTCCCGTTGATGCTGGCGCCGTTTTTCTTCTTTCTCGGTGGAGCTTCGTGTCCGGCGGCCTTCTGGACGCTGAGGACTGATAATAGGAACTGGTTGGGATAGATGTTTGGCCAGTTTTGTTGATGGGTCAGCACTTGGCTGAATGCGCGCCTGCTCAGGCGAGTGTTCTATCCGTAGCGTGCTGCCAGTGCTTGAGAATAAGCCCTTGGCAGATTTCATAATCGAGTGCAGTTTCAGCTTTGAAGCACTGATGTGACCATCGAAGCGTCTTGGTGAGCCTGTTGGAGTAGTAGAAGCATCAGCAGCAGTATGAGACAGAGAAATGCTTGGTTGGTGACCGTGCGGTCGGGGCGAAGAGAATATTGAGGTAGAAGATTTAGGATATGCAGGCTCTGTTTGCCATGTGTCTATCTTATTGATTGCTCGCGGTTTTTCGATTTCGGCAAGCTTCTCCTTAACAGTTGTGCCTTTGCTCTTGAAAAGCTCTGGTTTCTGGGGAGAGCTTAGAGGCCTGATCCAGTCATCATCCACCGACATTGGCTCTGGAGCTGGAGCCTCATGTGCCCTTTCGTTAGATGCGTCAGATTTTGACTCAGCTTTGGAAGCTGGAAGGTCTGGGTAGGAAACCTGGCCAGCTACTAGCCCAGAAGCGGATGGAATCGATTTTCTGGGTCGGGATGGCTGAAGTTTGCCTAGCATGCTTATTCTATCATGCAATGACTGTGTGGACTTTTTGATGTGCATCCTGGTAGCCTCGTCAGGATCTGCTTCTTCACTCGGTTCTTTCTCAGGTTCAATTTCCAACACTCTGGAACCGGAACTATCCTCTGCCGCAGCTTGCGGAATCCTATGGCCACCAGTCTGCCTGCCAAAGTAACTGGGACGCCCAGCAGTGCTCATTTTCGCCAGGTCAACATAACTTGTACGAGTTTTCAAAGGTTCTCGCGCAGGAAGGGTGGCAAAGCTTAAGCTGCTCTTCCGAGCGAATGGTCGTTCTGGAGTAGAACCATCCGAAGGTGAGCCGATTTCATCAAGATTGTCCAGAATTGTGTCGTCTTTCGTGACATTCTCCATATCCTCGTCCTCTGGGTGAGATTCTTGCGTCTGGATAGGTGCAGCTACCGGGGATACTGGGGCCTTTTCTGGGGATGGCTCAGGTTTGGAGACAGCCGGAACACTCTTCTTTGGCTCAGGTTCCTTTTTCTGTCGGTTTTCCAACATTTTGGCATCTAGCGTCGATTTTCTTTTCTTAATCGGAGTCGAAATGACTCCAGTATCAGATTCTTTGGGAACCGATGCGATCGGACACGCTTTTCGCTCTTGGGTTGGAGTTGGGTCCTTGTTCGGCTCGACGGTCTCTCCGCGGGCGCGGATCTCTTCCCGCGCAGAGTGGAAAGATTCTTCATTCGTTTGCTGACTAGCCAAAAAATTGACCTCTTGTATATCAGGATTCATGGGCTCGTCCTGTTCGAAAGGCTGGGTAGAAGCCTGAGATTCTTGTTGCACGACAGGCAGTACCATTTCATCGTCTCCGGGCATGCCATGATAGCCTGAGTCAGAGTTGTGTTTAGGGGATGAGTTCAGATTTTGGGTGAGATCGGGACATTCGGGCTGCGAAGCTTCCTCCTTCACGATCTTGGTGCGGGGCACATGTGACGCCTCAACGGGTGCGGGTTTAGAAACAACACGATGGATGAATGGACTCGTGCTTGCTTGGTTCTCTAGTTGTTTCTGGGCGGATGAGAAGATTTCGCTCAAGGGCTGTAAGGGGCATTAGACGAGAACTGTTGGAATCACTTCGAATTGGAGAGTACTCACCACTCGAGACTCTTCCGGGTTACGTTTGCGAGCGGTTCGGGGCGTCTTGCCTCTCATCTTCCCGGGCGTCTTGAAAACATCTGCGAAGTTGCTGTGTGATTGTTAGCACTGAACAGACAGAGTTCATAGTATGCGGTCGCAACTCACGCCTGGCCCTTGGAGAAGATCTCGGTCATATGTTCATTTAACCAGTCCATTTCATGTCGGACAGGGTATTCCACCTCTTCCATTTCTTGCTCCACTAGCTCGGCTATGTTTTCCTTCTCTGCTGCAATCCATGGCGCTGAGCCGACGGGCTTCTGCGCCCTCGCGCTTGCCACCATGATCTAAACAACGCGCCGTTGGTGGAAGTGGAGAAACTTGAACGAGCAATTAGCGGAGTATGGATAGAGTTGTACGTTGTAATAGTACAATCATGGAGATTGTGGGTGGTGGGTCGCGCTGAGTTGTCGGGGAATGGAGATGTCGAGAATCAAAACAGACCTAATCGGGTCGATAGCAACGCGTGGGTCATGTGATTCTCTGTTTATGGCAACTTCGTCTCTCCATTCTATTCTTTTTTTTTGGGGTAAAATGTGAATTTCGTGAAAATTGAAGAAACACATTGAAATACAACTCATTCCCCTTATTGATCAAAACCCCCTCCAGATTCCTTGTCGGAGTTGTCGTCAGACCTAAACCCATACTCCTATCCATTAGAGTCCAGTTCCTCATCACTAGTATTAAATTCATACCCATTGGTAACGCAGTCAGCAACCACTTGCTCAGCAGGAGCTCTCAAGGATATTCCGGTCTATTCCAAATAGGATTCCTTGATATAGTTCCAATCTAAGTCTCGAGGTAATGGACGGCTCCAATTGACTCAGGTGGGGGATTTAAATGCCGCCGATCATCCAAGGGCTCTTGCGAAGGCCGCCAACCATCATAAAATAATACTGGAGCTGAGCTGATTAGGCGCCACTTCATTACGCACCCAGCGCCGTCCGCTAAGCATGGAACTACCCATGTATCTGGTACTGTGGTATGAGCCTTAGCTGCGACCATGTTGGTGCTATTGGCTCGCTGGAATCGCCATTGGTCGACCGTTTCGCCCGCAATGTAGTCCACTTCGTCTTTACGTCGCTCGATGCTTTCAATGTCGATACAAAACCTGGTGACGCTAGAGGGCAGCTCCAACCACTTGCCCCAGGCCTCTTCGTTGTGTAACTGCTCGGAAATTTCCCACATCCAGGTGTCGGTGTATCGGAAGTGATAGCAACAGGCTTGGGATGAAAATGATGCATGGTGAATATCCTATCGAAACTCGGGGTGCTCTCGAGCTTCCATAGCAGAGGAAATACTCGAAGATGCCCGTCCTGTAATTCGTTATGTCGATCATAAATCAAATCTAGGCCTTGCTGCATTTTCTCGACAGTAGTAATTCGTTTGGAAGTGTGGTCCCCAGAGGCCATCCAGACTGCATGCTCCGAACAGATGAAGGGCATAAACCATGCCTCTATGTAGACTTTTTTGCAGGTTTGGAGCAGTTTTGTGTAGGTCTGACGGCGGTCTCATACCCTGGTCGCGTGCAGTATCCATCTTGCTCAGGTGGTTGTGTGATGCCTGGGGCACTTTTCAAAGAGTAGGCGAAGATCTCATAACTAGTCTCCGGAGGGAGAAGTGTGAACAGCTTTGGGGCTGCTCGTTGGACTTTGTAAATCAAGTGGGAGAAAGATTTGGCTCTGTCATTTTGACTAACAAATTCGGGTTTGGGTTTTGAGAATGGGACTAAAAGAGGAACCCCTGTCTATTTATTCGACAACTTCGGACTCCGATGAGGCTGAGGCGATGCTACCTACGATGCTAGTGGGGATCAGCCAACATATATCGGTATTGATACTTAACGCAGAAGTGGGATATTGACTATAGTCGCACTGATAGAGGTCGTGAATATACCATTCCCATGACCCTGTGTCTTAATTATCCGACCAGCAGCTTGGGTAGAAAGAAAAGCACCATCAAGATTGACCTTCAAAGTCTCGCTCTATTGATCGGAGGTGTAGTCTTCAGTGGCGATACTCGAGATAATCCCAGAGTTGACGACCATTAATCAAGTTTCCCAAAGTCCTTCGCCACCGGCTGGACAGCCGCCTAGATCTCAGACTGGATGACCACATTGGCTTTGTATGTTGCTGCGCGTACACTGTTAGTAGATGCAATTTGGATGCAATTGCACTGGCGGTATTGGGCGTATGATAGATCAAGGCGACGTTTGCAAGGTGCTTGATGGCTTTGTAGCGTCCAGTAGGGTGGCTTACATTTGCACCAGCTTCAGCAAATGCTCTCGAGACTTCAAGATCGATTCCACGAGCGCCTCCTACGATAGATTGTTATTCTTTACTCTTTCGATGAATGGGACACACTGCACCAGTCACAACTGCGACTTTGCCCGTGAAATCGGATGCTTTCATAACGTGCTGGTTTGGGGGTTGTGCGAGTACCATTTAATCACGCTAGTAGGCCGTCGCTTGCACTCGAGACAAAAGTATGAAATTGATCAGAGTAGCAACGAAGAAAAATAGAACGGATGTGAACCATGTCCTCCTCGATACCCGCATCGGGTCATCTCCGACATGTTCTCCAATCCTCGTGACTTTAAAGATTGTAAGGCAATTCCTAGCGAAAACGACGTAACACTGATGATACTGGCTCAGTCTGACTCTTTCCATGGTCACGGCGAGCCTTAATCCTTCGGCCGATGGTCACCTTTCTCAGTGCTTTGATGTGAACCGTTGGCACAGCTAGCTGAGGAGGTTGGGTGAGAGACATTGAGATGTCGACTCACTTTTCTGAGTCCTTTGAACAACTGCTTGTTTTCTCGGTTGAGCTCGTAAGCCCACAGGAGGGCGAGGGCTTCGTTGGACGTTGCATTTTCCATTGTCAAAGATGGGGAGACGTGCAAAGATGCAAACCAAGGAAATGAGAAGAATGGCCTTGTGACGTCTTAGTCATTTTCAAAAAACTCATAATCCCTGCATTCCCCCCTTTTTTTTGGTGTTCTATTGGTGTTCTTTAGACCAAGTTCAAACGGTATGAAAGGTGCAAATGACTGTTCCTATGTAGGACCTTTGAGAATATTATGACCCTAAAACTAGAAAAATAGCCAGGGCTCTACTTTACCTCTTACTCTATACCTAACTGGCTCAGAAGCCAGAAGAAAACTCAGAAACAGCAAACAAGTACATTTTAAACCTCATGTACTTTGTGTGTCTGGTCAAATAGCGAGGAGACACCGAGTATTCAAAGATGTCAGTCCTTTGGGGTTCAAAGGTTCTCCCCTTAATCACTCTTGGCATCGCCCTCGTCCTCGGTATTGGCATCGTCGGTCTGCTCCTTGGTCTGAGACTTATGGTCATCATCGTTTTTGGTGGAAGCTTCCATCTTGTCAAGGCTCTTCCTCAGACGTTCGAATCTCATTCGAGCGGCATTGTTCTTGATTCCAAAGTGTTTGGCAACGGCTGGGATGTCAACCTTTGAGTTCATGTTGTTAACGCAATTCACATATGAGATGTAAGTGAGATGAAGCAGAAAAACACAAAATCTACCAACCTGGACGTCTGAGATCTTGTAGCAGGCCCACAGGAACAAGAGCTGTCTTTTCACATCGGATTCTTTGGGCTCTTTTGGTTTGGATAGGCTTTTTCCAGCCGTCGGGGGGGATTTGGTTCGAGCCATTGATACTCAAAGAAAGGCGTGATGACTATCTGGGAGCTCTTTGAATGTAAAAAACGAGTTTGTTAGAAAAGAAATACCAGTGAAGTTGAGGGAAAGGGAAGAAAGGAAGAGAGAGAGATCGAGTCCGAGTTCGAGTTTAAATAATGGCATTAGCAAACAACCGACAAGAAAGCCATGTCTTTTGATAGAACAAGCGTATATGAATATGCATTTGGTTCATTATCTTGATCTTCTATACGAATTAATCTATCAACGTTGGGGTTATTGCCCACAGTCGAAAACAAAAAAGCGCCGAGAAGCGCTTGTTCAGGCGAAGAATCAAACCCCCTTTGTCTTTACAGATTCGAGGTTCTTTCGAGGTTCTTTACTGGATATAAAAAGATAGGGAGACAGAGTCGAGGGTTTTCCTTTTTGTCAAACCTCAAATACGGCCTCCCTAGGCCATAAACAGGAACCTTGGTTTTTGTTATGGTCTAGTGGAAAGTACGCTGTATTTCGTTCAACACTTGTCCCACTGCACACGATTAGAATTGAAATGCGACATGGACCACAAAAGCAAAAACTCACCTCTTCCGCGCCGTCATAGCCCAGCCAGGCTCTGTATAGCTTCTCTGCGAATTCAGAGTTAAACATGAACGTCGTGTTGTATATGATATCATCATGTTGACCCCAGCTCCAGATGCTACCAAGCCCAGCGTTGACCTTGCCAGGTTCACCTGGGTTGACGCGGCGATTTAATTCCTCGGGGTCCCATTTGGAATTATGGTATACCGGTTGAGGAACCTGGACCGCCTTCAGACCATAGTACAAAGCCCAGGATATAGGAGACATCTCGGATGCGAGACCAATCCCAGATTTTACCCTATTCTTAAGCAACGTGCTGAGAAGTCGCGCCGAGATGCAAGACATTGCCACGACAGCCGCCCGGCGTGGGGTCTCTTGATCTTGAGGGAAATTGAAGACGCGACCACGGAAAGGCCCGTCCGTACCAACTGGGTTGAAATGGGGTAACCAGGTAATGAGATCAGCTTCTTCACTCACACCCCAGGTCCCTGGCTCATCTCCTGGGCGAGGCACGGGGGGCAGAATGGCTTGCCCTTCGATGTCGATGCCTTCTGCGGGATGAGGGCCCCAAACACTGCTATTGTCATGACCAGGCATTTCTTGATCAATCTTCTTCATAAACTCTTCCCAAATGCCATGAACAGCAGGAATATAGAAGTGAGAATTCCGTTCCCACAGATACTTGCGTGGTCGCTGTTTCGCAAATTCTGTTGCCTTGTGCAAACGTTCGTACATATGGCCGGTATATCGTGAATCTATCTCGAACTGCCAGATGTAGTCGTACTGAGGGTGTAGTCGAGAGAAAATCTGCGTAGGCTGGAAATACTGTAAGATCCCTCTATTACAATGTCAGCAGGGTAGGTCTAGCTCAGAGGGCTGTAACATAGACATGAACATCAATCTCCGAATATCAATCCTTCAACATATCCGCGTTAAACCATGCCGCCAGGCTGCGCAGCTCCTGTGGCAAAAGTTTCGCTTTGAATGTCTCCCAGGCAGCATGATCAGTTTCTTTGGGCATTTTCTCGCCCTGGCAGTCACTGAGGAGGATAAGCTCATATTCTGCACCCGAATAGAGCGACGGCTCCATAATCATAGATCGAATGTGATACAAGTCGTTTTCAGTGTATTTAATGCCGATCCAAGAGCGCAGTATGACGGCTGCCCGGGGATGAGCCCTGTCTGTTTTGTTCAAGGGCTCACGAGACTGTACATTGAAATTCAGTGACTTGTACAGAGCGGTTATCTTCCCTTCAGATTGTTGCCTGCGATATCGATCGCTATTGCGCTGCAGGCACTCATGTTGTAGATGTGCCCAGTCCACTTGCTGCCAGTCTATTTCGGCGGGCTCGTTAGAACCAAATGTACCATTCCAATTGTGGATTCGAGTAGGTTCATTACCGTGAAGGTAGCCATATGCACCATATCGAGAGTAGCGATCGGCACAGAGACTCTTGTTCAAACTCCACGACTCATGCGATCCGAATATTGGCTTGGGGAAATCTAGTCCTTGATGATTAGTCTGCCGTCGACTCCTAAACTATTCCTCTTCGCACCTGTGGTATTCCAGTGAAACCCGCTCATCATTAAATCTTCATCCTTGCGGCTCAGGAGTCGCCCTTGGGGTCCAATGCATGGCTGAAAAAGATCAGAATGAACAAATAAGGGGAAACGAGAAAAGAGGCTATCTGCAATCACTTTGACAGCTTCACTCGCAATGGAACTACTAGAGCTTGTCTGGAATAAGGAATTAAAAAAAAACACCAGGCCCAGGGCGGCAAAGGCGAGACAGCGCCTTGAACCGAAACCCCTCCGCAGTGCCACGAAGAAATTCATGAATATCTAAAATCTGCAAAATCCAATCCTTTATCTGAGAGCCTTGCCAATTTTGCAGCTCTTGAGAACCGAATGCTAGTGGCTTGGCTCGGCTTGGGTTTCTCTACATATGTGTGCGGCCAATCGAATAGAGCACAATGCATGGCTGCCGAGAAACCTGAACAGGAAGAGAAAAAAAAAGGGAGAAATGGTTGCTAGAACCAATTCTTTGCATACCCATGTTGTAGTCTGTTGGGCTGCCGTTTCTTTTGGGGCTGTTGTATTTTCTTACCTTGGCCAGTTGGAGACCCGGATCCGCCCAGATCTGTCCATCTTGTTGATTTTTGAACAACAGATCGACTACTTTTGAGATGAAAACTCCAGCCAATATGTGTACTCTTAATAGGGATATCGCTATGTACTCAAATACTAAATCAACAAGTTCGCCTACAGACGCAACTCCAACATCAGCCCACTGTGATAAACATTTCCAACATGGTTATACGTATTTCTTCCAGAATCCCCACGATTAGATTAAACTAGTCAGTCGCAGTTCGTCGACCCCATCCACTGAAGAATCCCCCATTGTTGCTGGACGGTGTCCCAAGATTCTTTGAGACTTCGATGGGAGATTTACTGGCCAAGCTGAATCGCGACTGCGATAATCCAACACAGGAATGGCGGTTTTCAGGATTTGCTGCGGCAGCCTGGGAGGCCTTGATCATTTTCCGGAATGATTCCAACTTGCCCTTTACTTCCTCAAGCTCTTGCCTAGCAACTGCCTCTGCTGTCTTAGCAATAACCAAGTCCATGAGCAATGCTTCTTCAGCGGCGGTTTTGTTACTCTCCGTCGACATCACACTCTGGAAACCTAGACTGCTTGTCCGCCTGTTATATGTGGGACTTTTTGTGGAGTTGGTGCGGGCTAGCTTGAATTCGCGCAGACCACTAGTGGGAGATTGGTTGTCCCCAGAGTCGGCAGCAGAAGAAATTGTCGTTTCTAGCGGTGTTTCGGATAGAGGAGTTTTGAAGGTACGCAGCTCCCGGTTCAGACGCTCGAGCCGCTGTCGCTCCCGATGACCATCTTGAATCCGGCCCCGAGCTTCTCGTAATTGTTCCTTGAGGGACGAGTTCTCCTTTTCAAAATCGTCGATGCGCCGTGTGAGGTTCAAGCAACGGCCTGCTTCTACCTCATGCATTTCCTTCCATCGAATAACATCGTCATTGAGCTGGAGCTTGGTCTTAGTGATTGAAATACGTTTCGGGTTGACTGATTCAAAGCGTGCTTGGGCTTTGGTTATCAATTCGGCCGGTTGCGTCTCAGTCAGCAGCTCTCTGATATGGTTCAACATCTCCTTGGCCAGGGCATGGTCTTCCTCTCGTTCCTCCCTCTCCTGTTGTAGCTCACGTGTGAGGCTAGCTTGTTGGCGCTGAAGATCGCTGAGCGCCATCAAGAGTTCTTCAATCTGGGTATGGAGGTCGCGATCTTTGTGATGCGAAGACACGTTAGATTTCACGCGTGATTTTTGGATATCGACGCTAGCTGCAGCCGCCGATAGTTCGGTGGCAGCAGTGCTCGCGTCAGATGTAGTTTCAATGGAGTTGAGTGTGGATGTCAGGCTCTGCTTAGAAATAGAGCGACGAATGGTACTGTTCTGACGTGACGGGCTAGTATTCGGATTGAGTGACTTGGCCAAATTGTGAGAGTTGGACGAGCCAGCCCATAGTCGCCCAAGGAAACCAGAGGCCGTTGCCTGCATTTGCGGGAAGGAGGGTCCGGATGGTGAGCCTTTAGATTGGTTGTAGCTGGTTTCAAGGGCTTGGAGACTCTCTTTCGTCACGAGAGAGGTGAGAGACACGAAATCATTAACAAGATCATCAGCATTGAAGGCGTATCTGAGTAAAATGGGTTAGAAGAGTTCTTTGTTTCCTAAATTTGCTTTGTGCGATGCCCAAAAACTTACGTGTCCCACAAGCTTCGAGATAACAACAGTTGCATCACGTCTTCAAATTCGCTGCAAGACAAAATTCTCTTCTCGTTGCGCTGCATCAGGGAAAGTGCAACCCGCATCAGAGTCTCGCAAGCTCCTTCCAAAAAGATAACGTCATAAATTCGGAGAAGCATCGGTAACGGACAGGCCACCGCAAAGAACGATAGGAACCACTGTGATACGTAGACCGGCTCAACGTGGAGTGCTTCGAGATGTTGGAACAGGACCGGCCTGTGTCGTGCTAGAAGATTTTGGAACTGATAAACATGAAGGTGGAGACCCGAGAGGTCTGGAAGATAGCAAGATCGGAGGTTGTAGTGATCCATGAGACTACAATACGTAACACATCAGTATGGCTTCTCCAAGGTATACATGTGTCTTCCGGCAAGGAGACTTACCGGACAAGAACGCAAAAGGCCTCAGCATCTGTCATGTGCATGAGCAGAGGGCCTACCACAAACCCAAGACCTTGACAGTAGCCGATCTTGGTATCGTAAAGACTGAAGCATCGCAACACTCGACCGAGCATTTGTTGACCCTCGCCGTTCGGGTCGCGAAACATTTCAACATTAGGAAAGCTGCGGCCAATATCTTTTCCAATAAGCCCATCGTACGGACTGCTTTCACCCGAAAGTCTCTGGAATTCACTCAACAGATTGGGATCTCGTGCACCCGCCAGGCTAGGCCACACCACTCCTCGCAATGGCGGAGGCACACCTTGTTTAACTTTGTTCGATGTCAATGTTGGCAAACGCTGGGCAGTCTGGTGGTAATCGGCAACAAGTGCAGCCCAGAACTCCAACTCGGTCATTGGAGGAGGGGGCAACTGCGAGTATCGTAGCTCTGCCCGAGTGGGATCCCTAATAAGTCGCTTGATGTGGTGTAGTGACTCGGCCCGGGACTGCCGCTGGTGTATCTTGCCCTTAGGAACCTTGGGTATCCTGGACTTGGGATTGGTCGCCAAAGCATTGTTTTCTTGTTCGAGTCGAGCGAGGAGTAGGGCCGTGGACTAAAATTAGATGAAGAATGTTAGCACCCCCCCGTCTCCCAGAATTCTGCGGAAGCTTCTCACACTTACTTCGTCAGACCCCTCCCCACGCGGTTCTTGTTCTTCTGTCTTATCTAGTGTCTCCCAATCCGTTTCATTGTCAAACATGTCGCCTGTCTGTCTCCCCCTGTCCGCGCCTAGGGATTGGGGATTGGGGGTGGTCCTCGCCAGTGGCGCCGGTTCCAAGGACTCCTCACTCTCCTTCTCAAGATGGCTTATCTCCACTGGGGTTGGAGGGATGTCAAGAGTGCGCCAATCCGGTTGGATGTGCTCTGAACTGGATTGGTTATCGGACAACGCGACGGTGACCATCGAGTCATGGTTAGGTGCATGACTGCTGCTGGGAGATGCTGGCTCGGAATATTCCATTGTGACGCGATAGGAAATAGAAAAGGTGCTAGGAAGGGTGTAAACGCGTTGTTGGTGTTGACAATATTGAAATCGGAGGATTGCAGGGGGGGTTATTTCAGGCGGGTTTCAACTGCATAGTTATGCACTTTCACGCACGAGTACGTATTCAAGAAACGAAGTCCTTCTAGCAGAAGTGGGACCTGAATATGAATTTAGACTTGAATCTAGCACAAGACACAAAGGCTGGAGAAAGGGAAAAAAAGGGAGTCAGGAGAGATCCCACCAATTTCGTTAGCCCCCTTTAGCTTTCCCCTCGTGGAGTCTCGGTCCCGTCGATCATCCTCATACACCGACTGTTTGACCATTGAACTGAATATACGATTATCGTACGAAGTACTGATATATCGTATATTTGATGTTGTTTTAAATATGAGAGAATATAGCAGTGCTAAATTTCTTGACTTTTTACCTGTGTACTATCAGCGTCCGTTCCCCACACAAAGAAATTGGCATCGGAAGGATTGCGAGTATATTTGACTAGCACTAATCCATATGTACGGAGTAGTACTAGTACTATGCTTGGAATCATGATCATCTCGAGTCTCGATATTTGAACGACATTGCCTGCAGGTACGAAGTACAGCCTCCCACATTTGGAAAATTAAATGTCCAAGGGGCACTATAATCGTACCGCCATGTATCTTTGATACAATCCTTCATGGCTTTCATTAGCTGGTACTCCAAAAATGACTGGTTTGATTGGTTGAATATCGGAGCCAAATGTTGAAATACCAATACCACCCCCTGGCTTGCCTGTTTTACCTCACTTTGTATTGCTGGCCAACATTATGTGTTAAATGTGTACATCCTGCATCATGAACTCGAAAATGATGATGTACTGGGCTGAATGGCTACTACATGTATTCCAGGTCTCTGTATCCCTTGGAAGTCACACCTTCGACTGCTCATAGAGATCCACAGACTATGGTCCATGCGGTCCGCCTGTCAGAACTGGGATGGTTTCCAGCCCACTTTTCAAGATTTGAAGGAATCTTTTGGACTAGGTAGTGCAGAGTACGGAGTACCCCATATATACGTGGCAGTTACCGCTATTCAGCTATATGTGAGTGACTCGTGGCTTTCAGATTATACATCGTGTTCGCTAGGTGGTTCGGTTATGTTCTGCGACAACAATGTCGTATGTCTTCGGAGTGGATGTAATCCCATCCCGTAAGCAAATCAGCCCGCTAGTTATTTAGTTAGTTAACTAGGCCAAAAGATCACGAGGACAAACAGAACGTCTATTTGTCATTGCAGCGGCAAATAAACTAGGCCATGCCATTCGTTAGGGACCACATAAACGCGATGGCTATCTGTGTTCACCTAAAACCTATACCTGCTAGAGAGAATCATGAGACAAGAGAACCGTGCAGAACAACAACGTATGAATTTGTTTTAATTGAATGGCTATGGCCTACCGCAGTCATTTGTTGCATCACCGTTGATTCTATGCATTGTACAGAGGACTTAGAGTCATAAAAAGGTAACGGCATCCCCACAGATGGGCTTAGCTACATGAAACTTACTACCAGATGATATTGTCTCTTTAACATGCATTCCTATTTGAGTAGTACACCAAGCGTATAATGTTGCTTAGGTAGTCAATTTACATCCAAGTGTTCGATGTATAAGGTGAATTGACATATCACCTGTGAAGAATATGAGAGATTGCTCAAGTCTCATGTATGTGCCAGAGGGAAGAGAAAAACAGAATTCAGTTGGATCTGACTCTATGCTCTGATTCCAGCGCCCAAATATACTAGAAATTCACCATTGGCTATGAATTTAGAGACAATTGAGCTAAAAGAAAACAAGAAAGCTGGTATCTTAAAGACATGTCATTTACTCCACTCTATGTATCCATGGATTGTAGGTACGTGTAATTATCTCAAATTTCAGTAAATTGATGTGATGATGTACAACATCTGAAGTAAAGCCGATTTTGGTTCGTTTGTTTGTGAATTGCCTATTTGGGGCGCGTTTGCAGGCGGTGAGGAAGAATGATGATCCGAGTGGTCACAGACTGCCCACCGCCCCCTGTCAGTCGCGACTTCCCCGGGCAAAAAAACAACAGGCGCTTCCCCTCCGCCTACTCTCTCTCCCTTCCTCTTTTGTGCTTCTTGCGTGACCCTTTTCTGGCTTGAGCATGCTGGAGCTCGATTGATCCGTTCTTTGACATTGAGAGATAGCAATCATCTATTTGCTTCAAGTTTGAGGCCTGATTTGGACTTCTTTCTTCCCCAACTGCGCTTCTTCGCGCTTCATCTATTTAGTCACATTCATCATGGATGACTCCATGTTGGAAGACTCGGTCTTCGATGATGACGGAGGCAGCTCTGACTTTGCCCCAGAGCCTGCACCGGTAGGAAATCCCCTCAAAATGCGAATTCCAACGCCACTTAACTTTGACTGCTGACATCCTACGTCCTCCAGAAACCCAAAGCCAAGGCGGCTCCTAAGAAAGCCGCTGCCGCTAAACCTGCCACTAAAAAGACCACCCAAACCACACTCAAGGTCAAGCCTGCTGCTAAGGCGGCTGCGACGAGGAAGAAGAAGGCTGACAGCGAGGACGAAGTGTCCGACATTCAGATGTCCGACGATGACTCTCTGCTCTCCCACACCCCCCCCAAGACTAAGAAAACGGCTGTTTCTAAGCGAGCTGGCTCAAAGCCTCTGGCCGATGTCGAAAATGAGTCCCACGGAGGTGACGCTGCTGCCGACAGCAAGACTGGCAATGCATCAGACAAGTATCAGAAAGTAAGTTTCCGCAGCCTCTAGGATGATTTTTTTTTGGGCAGATACTTATCTCTACTCTTCAATATAGCTCACTCAACTGGAACACATCATCAAACGTCCCGATACCTACATTGGATCTACAGAGCGCACTACGCAGCATATGTGGGTGTACAACTCCGGAACCGAGGCGATGGAGTATCGCGAAGTCTCTTTCGTCCCTGGTCTCTACAAGATATTCGACGAGATTGTGGTCAATGCCGCCGATAACAAGCACAACGACTCAAGCATGAACGAGATGCGGATCACGATTGATCGCGAGGCCGGTGAGATCAGTGTGTGGAACAACGGACGTGGTATTCCTATTGAGATCCACTCCAGAGAGAAGATCTACGTGCCCGAACTCATCTTCGGCCATCTGCTTACTTCTTCCAACTATGACGACAGCCAGCAGAAGGTGACTGGAGGTCGTAACGGTTTTGGTGCCAAGCTTTGTAATGTTTTCTCCACAGAGTTCACTCTCGAAACCCAGGACTCCCGCCAGAAGAAGAAATATAAGCAAACCTGGACCGAAAACATGACGAAGATGGGCAAGGCAAAGATCACAGATGCAAAGGGAGATGACTACACCAAGGTCACCTTCAAGCCTGACTTTGCCAGATTCGGCATGGATGGCATCGACGATGACTTCGAAGCCCTTGTCATGCGCCGAGTCTACGATTTGGCGGGTACCGCCAATGTTGGTGTCAAATTAAACGGCACGCGCGTCCCTGTTCGCAATTTCCGAAAGTACATGGAAATGTACACCAAAGCCATTCGCAAAGAGCGTGATGATGATGGTCCTCCATCAAAGGATGAAATTATTACGTGCCAACCCGATCCTCGATGGGAGATTGGTTTTGCTGTTTCGGACGGTTCGTTCCAACAAGTTTCATTCGTGAACTCGATTGCAACAACATCGGGCGGAACGCACGTCAACTACATCGCTGATCAGATCTGTACTCGCTTGGCCGACCAGGTGAAGAAGAAGAATAAGTCTGGAGCAACTCTGAAGTCAGCACAGATTCGGAACCACATCTTCATATTTGTAAAGGCCTTGATCGTTAACCCGGCCTTCAATTCCCAGACCAAGGAACAGTTGACTACAAAGGCCAGTCAGTTCGGTAGCAAGTGTTCCCTTGATGAAGATTTCTACAAGAAGGTTTTGAAAACCGAGGTTATGTCAAATATCCTACACTTCGCGGAACAAAAAGCCGACCAGATATTGAAGAAGAGTGAAACCGGTCGACGCACGCGTATGAACAATCCAAAGCTGGTCGACGCCAACAAGGCTGGTACTAGAGAGGGTCACCACTGTACTCTGATCTTGACCGAGGGTGATTCAGCCAAGGGGTTGGCCATGGCAGGCAGAGCGGTTGTTGGACCAGACTTGTTCGGTGTTTTCCCCTTGCGCGGAAAGCTTCTTAATGTCCGCGACGCTTCTTTTGACCAGATTTCAAAGAATGTTGAAATCCAAAGCATCAAGAACTTCATTGGTCTACAGCACAAGAAGGAGTACACTGAGACCAAGGGACTACGATATGGCCATATCATGATCATGACTGATCAGGATCACGACGGTAGTCACATCAAGGGTCTGCTCATCAATTTCCTTCAGGCGCAATTCCCCAGCTTGCTCAAGATTCCAGAGTTCCTCATTGAGTTCATCACTCCTATCATCAAGGTTTGGAAGGGTGATCCGAAGAACCCGACTAAGCAGAAATCGTTCTTCACCATGCCCGAGCATGATGAATGGCGTCAAGCTCACAAACACGAACGCGGCTGGCAACACAAGTACTACAAGGGTTTGGGAACCAGCACTACGGAAGATGCACAGGTCTATTTCCGCGACCTCGATCGTCATTTGAAGGAGTTCCACACTATGCAAGACGGTGAAGCTGGACTCATCGAGCTGGCTTTCTCCAAAAAGAAGGCAGATGAGCGTAAAGAGTGGCTTCGTCAATACAAACCTGGCACATATCTGGACCACTCGGTGGCGAAGATCACATACACTGACTTCATTAACAAGGAGCTCATCTTGTTCAGCATGGCGGATAACCAACGTTCGATTCCTTCCGTTGTCGATGGTTTGAAGCCAGGTCAGCGCAAGGTGCTTCACACCTGTTTCATTCGTAATCTGAAGAAGGACATGAAGGTGGTTGAGCTGGCAGGTCACGTTTCCGGAATGACAGCTTACCAACACGGTGACGTCTCCCTTCAACAGACTATTGTTGGTCTTGCCCAGACCTTTGTTGGCTCCAACAATATCAATTGCCTGGAGCCTAGTGGAAATTTTGGTAGTCGACTTCAAGGTGGTGGCGACTGTGCCAGCGCTCGTTACATCTATACTCGCCTGTCCCCCTTTGCACGCAAGATCTTCCATGCGGCCGATGAACCACTACTAACATACAACGAAGACGATGGCAAGAAGATTGAGCCCGAGGTTTTTATTCCTGTCGTCCCGATGATTCTGATCAATGGTGCGGACGGTATCGGAACTGGTTGGAGTTCTTCTATTCCGAACTACAATCCCGAGGATGTTGTGAACAATCTCAAGCGCCTGATGGCTGGCGAGCCTACTGAGCCAATGCAGCCTTGGTTCCGTGGTTTCACCGGTGAGGTTGTGGCTGTGGGTGGAGATCGATATAAATTCAGCGGTATCATTAGGGAATGTGGCGAGAAGGAGGTCGAGATCACTGAGTTACCTCTTCGCACCTGGACACAGGATTTCAAGGACAAGCTGGAGGAGATAATCAAGGCCGAGAAGGTGCCATCCTTCATCAAGGATTACAGGGACTACAACACTCACACCAAGGTCCACTTCATTATCCAACTCGATGAAAAACACATGAAGGCTGCTCTGTCTGAAGGCTTGGAGGAAAAATTCAAGCTGACCAAGTCGATTGCAACAACCAATCTGGTGGCTTTCGATCCTGAGGGCCGCATCACCAAGTATGCCACTGTCGATGACATTCTCAAGGAGTTCTATGTCGTCCGTCTCAAATATTATGAACGACGCAAGCAGTTCCAACTGTCAAATCTACAGAGAGAGCTGGAGAAGCTGAGTAACCAAGCTCGCTTCGTGCAGATGATCATTGATGGCAAATTGGTCATCTCGAAGAAGAAAAAGCCTGTTCTAATCACTGAGCTTAAGGAAAAGGGCTTCAAGCCAATTGCCAAGGTAGCTGAGGCCGCCAAGATGGGCGAAGACGAGGCTGTAGTAGAAGAGGGCTTAGAGGAAGGAGAAGATGAGTCAGATGACCCTAACGCTGAGGTGCTATCCAGCTCATTTGACTACCTTCTGGGTATGCCCATGTGGTCACTGACCCAAGAGCGCGTGGAGAAGCTCCGTAGCCAGATCGGCGAGAAAGAAACCGAGGTCGATGTCTTGATTAAGCTGTCCAAGGAGGACATCTGGAACCGCGATTTGGAGGAGTTCATCAAGGAGTGGCGCTTCCAGCTTGAAGATGAGGACCGTCGAGCCCGCAAAGAGGCTGGCTTGGGCTGTCGCGTCCCGACCAAGCTGGCCACTGGTGGCGGTCGTGTCGCGGCTTCGCGCAAGCGTAAGGCAGCCAACGGTGATGATCCAGACGACGAAGACTTCGGGGTCCCAAAGGTGAAGAAGGCCGCCGCAGCTAAGAAAAAGGAGCAGCCCAAAAATAGCTTGATGAATTTCCTCAGTAAACCCCCGAGCAAGTCATCACCATCTGCTGACTCGGACGATGATTTCAACATGGACATGGAAATTCTTCCGAAGAAGAGCCGTGCTACCTCGAAGCCTAAGACTCTTCCCAAACAAGAAGACGACTTTGTCGACATCGACAACGTTCCCCAAGCCTCGCGGGCATCAGCTCACCCGGCTGATGATACCATGGACCTAGATGAGGATGAGATGCCAAAGCCCAAAGTAGCAGCCAAGGCAGCGGTCAAACCAGCTGCTAAACGAGGACCCAAGCCCAAGCCCAAGGTCGAAGAGGACTCGGATGACGATTTCTTGGAGATTGCCAAATCTGAGGCCTCCAAGCCCGCAGTGCAGTCTTCTCGCGCTCGCAAGCCTGTGAAGTACTCAGTGCCTAGCGACTCTGATAGTGACAACGGTGATGATCTTCTTGGAGACGTTAGCATGATGGTCAAGGGCATTGGTGGTGACCCGACCGCTGATTCTCGACAACTCTTTTCGGAGCGCCCCCGCTCGGAAAGCGGTGCCAGTGTGAAGACTACCGCGAAGACTTCCAAGGCCAACGACGATTTCGATCCGGATGAGACGGACTACAGCAAGCTTGTTCCTCAAAACTCCCCACGGCGTTCCATCCAGGTCAAGCCCAAGGACGTCAAGCTCGATGACAACGATGAAGACGACGAGGAGCAACCAGTCAAGCCAGCTGCTCGGGCTAAGGCTGTACCCAAGGCCAAGGCTGCGCCAAAGACTGCTCCTAAGGACGCAGTTATTGAAGACGACGATGACGAGGAGGACGAGCCGATCAAGCCGATTGCTCGGGGTAAAGCAGCACCCAAAGCCAAGGCTGCCCCGAAGACCGCTGCCGCTACCTCGGCACCAAAAGCTCGTGGTCGCCCCAAAAAAGAGCCAGCTCCGAAGCCCGTCCCCAAGTCTGCTCCCCCGACTTTATCCCCGGCGGCCAAGGCCTATGCTTCCAAGCAAGGCAAGGCGAGCAAGAAGATTGTAGATGATTATTCGGAGGATGACATTGATGCCATGGCTAACGACATTTTGGATTCGCCAGCGGGCAAAGTGAATGTTGATATTTCGGAGGACGAAGAGCCCGCTCCCGCCCTCCGTCGCGCGGCTGCAAGCCGTCCTGCTCGTCGTGGCGCCACAAAGCAGAAGAACTCCTATGTCATTGAGGATGACAGCGATGAAGAAGCATCAGCCGATGATTTTGACGAAGACGAAGATGACAGCGACTAAATAGTGAAACAGTGAGGATCAGAAGCCCTTTTTGCGATGCTCTCTCTATTGTGTTTTTATTTTCTTTCATCTCCATGTCTTAATTCATTGGTATTTTATGGAGATCTGGCAGAGCAAGTGGCATGCAAGGCGAATACGAGATGTTTAATTCTAATTGTTTCGATCTCCATATCTTTCAGTCGCATCGTAGGCACCAAAGCTGGTAAAGAAGATCAACACGAAAGAACCACCTAAAATCATAACCTCGTGTCTCGAATTCTCAATGAACACCGTCCAGTCTAACTCATTGCCATAAGAATCAAATAAAACGAAGTTGCATTCTAGCCATGGACCTCCAGCGTCAACTTGTCCATCGAGATCCTCAATCATATTGCATGCGAATCGAATAAGAAGGATAGTGACTTGAACATCTAAAGGCCTCAACTCCTAGTAAAGTCATCAAATCTCACAAAAATGCCTCACAAAATGCATCGAAACAGTACCACCACACCACAGCCCTCAGATCCTAGACCGTAAACGCCATTCCCATGTCGACTTTGTAGCGCAGATCATCAAAGCGAAGCTCGACGTCGCTTACGACTACGAGATTCATCGCCATCAAGAGAGCGAGAGCCAGAAGGCGACGTCATCTCGTCATCGTCCATCTCCGTGTCAGTTCCCGTGTTTTCAAGCTCATTCAAGTGCAGACGAAGAAGAGCTTCCGCAGCCCTGACCTCGCGGGTGAAGGGTGGCGATGGCTCAGGACGGGCAGCTCGGGATGTCCGGCTGGGATACTTCTTAGTCTGGGATTCGGGACTTGTAGAACCGTGGCCAAACGAAGCTCCACCAAGGGTTCTCTTGAGAGGGGGTCCGCGGTAGTCCTCATCGTGAGCATCGTCCATTTGCCAATCATCGTCCGAGTCGGTTAGGTCGTCGTAGTCGCTTGGCATGGTAGCTGCTTCCGACGTGGCGTTGTGCTCGTCGAGGTCGCCGCGCTTGTCGGTTTCCATCATGTGTTCATCCACGGAAGGACAGTTTGGAGTGGAATACATGTTGGACGAACCATCGCTGTCGGTGTCGCTGTCTTCGCTGATACCCCCGGGGACATTCTCCGGGCGTATAGCATCTGAGATGGCTCGGAGGGTAGTCCGGGGTGACTCGACCCGCGAGCGAGGCACTACATTGGAGTTGCGCGGGGGGTTGATGGGGGTGAAGTTAGACGTGGGCGACTGGCTTTTAGGCGACATGTAGTAAGGCTCCGTAGAGGAGTCCCGCGCACTGGTATTACTCTCGGCGTATTGGTGACGCGGGATCTTGAGCGGGGGCAGTGTCAGGGACGAGTCTTGTCGGTCCAGTAACCCCGTACGATCCAGAAGAGTAGGTGTTAAGGAGGGGGCATTGATCGCGGGGGTGCTACCTACGACCCTAGACTTCATCTCCAAGGACCGATAGTGGTTGGAGGTGTTGGTGGCACGCTGCACAATTTCCGGAGGGATGACCATGCGGCCATGGATTTTGCGGTCCGTTGGGGGGATGCACATGGCTGGAAATTCTGTGCCAAACAGTGGAGTCAGGGCGTATCGGATTCTCCAGCAGAAGGTGGCTGCCATGGCTCTGGCGGCTTCATATGGCATCCAGTATCCTATTTGAAAAGCAAGGTGGTTAGATTTGACCATCTGAGGAAGCGGTTCACAGAGGAAGAAGGCAAGGAGATCTTACCTTGAGCAGAAAGTGCTCCACCGGTGATGCTGTGACAGATATCGCGGAGACCAGGGTTCTGGTTCAGCATCTTGGCCGGGGTGGTCTATAACGAGTTAGAATTCCCGAAGACATGGAAGAGCAAGACCTCTTGAACTTGCCTTGGAGTAGCCGTTGCATTTGAAAAGATGTGTAATCCGAACAATGCCGATGTTGTAGTCCCACATAACATGCCATTCCTTTTCTTCGCCAGGTATCTGGAATGTGTATTGAAAAACTAGATGGAAGAGTCAGATGTGAATATCAACGCATGTTCAACGGCACATACCATGGAAACTATCTCGGCCGGTCTTTTCCTGGAAGGTTTTCTTGTCACTGGCATAAGGGATATGACGAGGATAGTCGGCAATGTTGCCCATGGGACGCAACGAGAGCTCTCTATGAGCCTTCTCCAGCTCTGCATCTCTTTCTTCGCAAGGAGGATAGCGGCACTCGCCTTGGATCTTGCCACGACGGAAGACTGGGGCGTCCTTGGCCATCTTCGGCCGCTTCTCACGGGCAGGGAAGGAAGGATAAGGGTGCCGCCTTTCGGGCTGAGGATTCAGTAGGGATTTGATGGATAGCATTAAGAAGTTCAAGTGCTATCCTTGAAAAGAGTTGAACTGCAAAGTTGCTGGGGGAAAAGAAGGAGCTTAATGTCTCTTGGAACAAAAAGCTGTCCAGAAAGATAGAGAAGTCAAACCTGCAAGAAACAAAGTAAAGCAAGACAATCCTAGATCTTTGTTCAAAGGTTTGTCACAGCTTCAGAGAGCTTGGCAAATACGGATTTTCCAGAAGAGACGGATCAGTGACCTGAAGAAATGGGCTTCACCGGTTCTTTTGCCTCTGACCCCAAGGGGGTGAAGTTGGACGAGTCCACGGGCTGTTTGTCTCTCCGCGTGGAAGTGAAAAGTTCCAATGATCTTCGACTTTGGACTGACGGTGCATTTGATCTTCTATGCCCCTGGAAGCAATTACAAAGTTACAGAGAATTTGAGACTTGTGTCTTCTCTCGAGGCCTCACCTGTTTCATCTTCACAGCGACTACGCCTCTTACCCCCAGTTTAGGGAAAGAAAAGCATGACCCGTTTCAGGGATCATGTGGATATCCTGGATTTCATTTAAAAAGGTAGAGAGGCACTGCTGCAAACAGCTCATTATAGTCACAGGTACCTCTAAAGGGCTATAGTTATATGTTACTGAATGCCCTAATATCCCGGGGTGGAAGAGCTCACCCGTTATCCCACCTTTCGTTTCAACTTCTCATTGAAGAAACCATGTCCGATCTTTCTTGGCATTACAGCCAGGGTACTGCAGCAACCGGAGCATTAGGATACCAGTTGAATGGTCCAATAAGAAGGTATATACCCCACTCTACAGCTTCAAAGAGGTCTCAGACTCACGGCAAGTTGCAGGGCAACTTACTCCTTGTATGATGGGAAGCTGCATTGGGCGAGTCCGCGAAGTGCATCTGAGAAAAGCCGCAACGATAAACTTCTGATATCAAAGATACTGGTAAAGGTGACAAGGATCTTCACTTGGGTACCACGCTTCCATGCCTATATAGTGTACCCTGCACAAATGGGTTATACATTTGAGAGATGGGCTAAGGCTGAATGGCATGGTCAAACCAATGGTGATCAGGTTAGGAAACAAACTGGGGTAGTTCTTTCCTACTGAAAATGCACTTATACACTTCACTTCTTCTCTCTGCTGCTTTCTTGAGTGAGGACCCCAATCTGAGACCCTTCACCCTTTCAACTAGAGCACTGATTGAAGTCTGAGAGCGTGGATATAACAGAAACATGGTCTCTCTGGAGGCGAAAGAGACATTACAACGACTTCAAAGAACTTTCCATGCATCCTTCTATGCAGTAGTCTGACACGTTGGCAGCTGCTAGAGCCCACTTTTCAGGTCTTTATCCTTTGCTTTTCTCTCCTTGAACCGACCTATACCAAAGTGTCACACTGACTTCTCCCGGTCCGTTTTTTAATCCGCTATTGTACCCACCTGCCAGTCTAGGGTAGTCTGCATAAGACTTCCAACAGGTGCAAGGGGCCCTTCCGCCAATCGGTGCCGGGCCGGGGCAGCATTATAGAGTACCGCAGAAAACGGTGCATATAGATGCCGGCAGGACGCTACGCAATCTGGTCAGAGACTGTAAAAGTCGAGGACTGGTGAACTAGATGTCAACACAACTGGGCTAGTTTTCGAGGAGGGATAGGCTCAATTGCATTGGAGTCGGTCTGCAAAGAGTCCCAACAGCCGAGACCGATATGAGAGTCCAGAAACGAGGACTGGTTTCCAATGTCTTAGACACTCTGGCGCTGACTTGACATTCTCTTCTGCACCCCCAAAGAGCGGTAAACCGGGACATGCGTGTCCCTCATCTGCGATGCGTCTCAGATCCCGAGCTTCTGGAAAAGGGGTAAGAAGGGAAGCCATGTCTCAATTGGGATGCTGCTGTTGGTGTTTAGGCCTTTTCCCAAGCGGCGATTTTCTTTCCTCTTCATTTTTTCATCAAATCTAAGCCTCTCAGTGACAGTGACTCTTTCAAGTTGCCCTTGGGGGGTGTCTCTTTTTACATGTTTATCAAGAAGTCGGCAGAGTCATCGTTCAGATGAGAGCCGCGCAGTCTTGACGATGCTGCGGTATCATGACAGTAAGGTCTCGATCTCAACACTGGACAAGGGAAAAAAAAACGGAGTGTCACACCCCACATGAGCCTGCAAGACTCGATACTAAATCCAAGTTTCAACTAGGTAAGAGACTGACTTCTATCACAAAGAGATCCAGATCTCGACCCGTTGAACACAGAATGCAAACCGAACCCGAACCCAGACTCGATTCAAGAGGCTGGAGACTCAGAAGGTACCCCTCACCCGTAGCGATTAGACAACATTGCGGAATCTGTGCCACAGCCCTCGAATCCGGGGTATATGGGGTGTGATGAGGTGAAGAGGAAACACAGTTCCGAGCACGACTGAACAAGGCAAGCCTTCGAGGGAGAGGGGAAACACAATGAAAGGGAAAATAAAACCGTCACAGGCTAGCCCGAATCGCAATGCGGCGAATAGGGAGCCGGGTCGGTAGACCGGGATGAAACTCAACGGCTGCCTTGCACTGTTGGGTGATCAAGGCCACTTGCATGAAATTGTGAGCAACTACCCAAGTGGGTTGGGTCGAGGCTTTTTTTTCCCTAGGGTATGAGAGGTGGGAGTCATGGCGCACGGATATAGCAGGATGTGGACTGGATCTAGTTTCCTGGTGAGTAGTACGTATACAATATTTCGTGATATTTGCCCAGATAGTGGTCGAGGTCACTGCGCGAGGCTCGAGGACGGGCAGAGATGTCTGAATTGGGATGATATATGAAAAGCCGAGTTAAGATCATAAAATTATGTAAATGAGATTCCATTAGAAACAATATGAACTCAAGAAAGACATAGACAAGGGGTGTTTGGAGAAAAGAAGTCGACATGTAAAAAATGTCCAGAGTGTTAGGGTTAGAGGGTGAGAGGGAAAAAAAACGAAAAATGGGGGAACAAGAGACATGACAGCTCAAGAATCGCTCAAGAATCGTCCTTCTTTTTTTGTGTTGGGGGAGGGGGGGGGGTCGTCGAGACACAAGGATTTTTGACGATCATGGATTCTGAAGGTATCCCCAACAAGAAACAGGTGGCTCAAAAACAGATACCACGTGCCATTTGGCACATCCAGCAACTAACACGGCCAGAATAATGATATCCAGTCACCCAAGAATATTCGATTGAGGCTGAGATTTGAGGGCAATTAGAATTCCCGGTTAAGATGACCTAGTATCATGGAGACCTATTCAAATAGCCAGAAGAGGCTCACGGTCACCAGCCTGCTCTGCCGGCTCCACGGACGCAACTATGTCCGACTCAAGAGCCTGGGCGATAGGAGCAGCCGTGGGGGCCTCGGGGAAGTCTTCGTGCTTGACGGTGGGCTCGACAATGGGCTCGACCTTGGCAGGCTTGACAACGGTCTTACGGTTGATCGGGCTCACAGGCTTGGTCGTCCGCGGGGAAGGAGAGCGGCGGGTTCCAATGTAACCCTGGGCCTTAGAGCTGTACTCATCGACATACTGCTTCATCAACTCGGTGGCGTGCAAGGTACGCTCGCCAGCCATGTCCCGAAGCTGGTTGGTCTGGAAGTTGATGATTTCCTGGGCTTCGATAATATGCTCGTCAATGAGCTCACGGTTGTTGATGTAGAAAAGGGGAGCGAAGTATGTGGTGGTCGCGGCAATCACAGCAAAGCCCCAGAAGGGAATGAAGCGGATCAGCCAGTAGCTGATGAAAGCAGCAGTGAAAGCCTTAAAATCCGTTAGTCTCTGTCGTTTGATTTATGTTCATTGGTGACCAATTTAAACCTACCAAAATGGTGTGGAGGATATTCTCGACAAACAGGATGCGTTGGAACTCGATCAGGAAGAAATCAACCAGCTGCTGAAGGTCCTCGAGGACTGCCTCAAAGGTCTCCTTGGGGACAGTGTAGTAACGACGAGGGCGGAATCCACTAGCGACTCCGCGCTGGAAAATGAAATGGCCAGCCAGCTCGACGGTGGCAGTCACTGCACACAATTGTTAACCGACCCCTCTGTCGACCGTGGGTCACGCGACCACTCACCTCCCAACGACATGTACAGGAACTTGAAAACCCAGCGAATGAGAGGCATAAACCGAGCAGCGAATATGAGACAGATCACGCTGGCGTAGGAAACGGCGGTCGCACGGGGTTGTTCCCACTAGAAGCACAGAAAGATTAGCATGGGCTTCTAAATTGAAGACTCGGACGACAACTCACGCTCAAAAGACTGTACATCAAAGAGTGGTAGTCTAGATACTAGTTAATATCCCGCGGCCCAATCTATCCAGTTCTCGAGGCATACAGGTCAATGGTTGACCATCGGCGGTGGTGGTTAAAGGGGTCACACGCGAGTTTGTCAGATCGCGAAACTCATCGCCGGTGCGGGATACTTCGGACTTCACATGATCGACAATTGGGCCTATCAAGAAACTAGTCAGCATGCTTTGGGTGGCTTCGGAGGCTTCCAGATGCTTATTTACCCTTGGTAATAACGTCGCTGATGCCTGAGCGCAGGTGTCAATGATAGTTTTTCCCAGGGAATTGAGGAAGGAAAAAAGAGCACAATACTACAAGATGAGTGGGTTAGCATCGTCATTAGAATTGAGGTGAGCTGGTGATCTTCTTACCTTACTGCCCGTGTTAGGGTAGGTCACGTCACCAGAAGCCATGGCAGTGATGTTTGTGAGCAGGTTAGGGAAGGAAGGGATTTTTTAGATGCGGGATTAGAAATTTCGTATGAAGCGTATCAACTGGGTCAAGAAGTGAGTTCTTGAAGCGAAATTAAAAGGGGGAAAGGGGGGAAAGAGAAGAAGAATACAGAAAAAGATAAGGGTCAACCAAGGTTGTTGCGATGCTGTCATGTGCGTTGCCAAGACCAAGCAGCTATGGATCTCTTTTCTGTGGACGAAGTTGCTATTTACTCTGCTATTTCTTTTGAAATTTCCTAGGTAGAATTGGAAAATATTAATATCCTGCTAGTTTATGTTGTAAAGCACCCTACAAGTACATTTGTGTACGCTATGCTCCACATTGTATTATCAGGCCACCTTCCAAAGACTGTTATAACATGTTAATTAGCTTTATGTTCACTTCTCATCGCCATACACCGAAGCTAGATATATACTGAAGTTCATTGATATTAAATATAGTTCTGACTTTCATACACTTTGTACACCTAGTCTCAACAAGCACGGTCGGCCACATAGATGGCTTTTTGTAACACCCTTTTTGGTGGGTTTTTTTTTCTAAAAATATCTTGCCCCCCTTCTCAGTTTCGTGGATAAATAATAATAGAAAGAGGCGCTTCACTGTGATAGCGATTTTTTTGTACAACATTTCACTCCACAAGTGGAACAGGGATACCCAACTTCTACTTCCCTAGGTAGTTACTCAGCGAATGCTAAGGTTGATAGTGTTAACAATGCTCTAGTTATGTCCACTCAGTCGTGCTCACTAAGTACTGTACTTCGACTACGCTTGGTATGTTTATGGGGTGATCTTAATTGAAGAGGTACCTGAATGAAAATGGCAGAAATTGCTTTGATTGATTTCTTTTCTAAATAGGGAAATTTTGTGTTGATAGTCCACAGCTGTTGGATGTTGGATATTAATTAGTCACCATTTGAGGGCTTAATGCGTTGTTCTAATGCGGAGACTACCGTGCTCTCCCAACCTGAAGCTATCTATATTTGAAAAAAAAAATTTAAATTTTGAAAAAAATTGAATTAAAAAAAAAGTCAAGAGCTAGTTATGGTGGATTTTTTTAGAATAACATTTGACATGACTTTGGGAGTGTACTGATAATGTAATCCTTAGAGCGTGAGTTTTAGGCATTTAGTAAATAGATTGATAGATAGCAAGGACTATCCTGAACTGCCACTCTCTCAGCACAATTGCTCCTCAATCCTCAATCAATACTTCAGTGATAATCGCTCAGACTCGGCGGGAGATCCTGAACATGAGTTCCCCATACACTCTCCTTGGGACCCAGCACAAGTTCAAGAATACCACCATCAGCGAAGAAGTCATGGGTGATCCAATTATTTGTCCACGGTTTGTCGTTCCACTTGGCACTCTGGATATAGATGGACTTATAACTAGGATCAAAATTGATGTTGCGGATAGTGGCAACTTTTCCGGTGAGGGCGTTTCGTATGCTGACTTCGTTGAAATAGGGCGGAGTGATCAGGTAAACGTCCTGGCCGGGCACTGGCCACAGACCCATCATGCTCAAAACAACAAATGAGCCCATGGCTCCGCTATCGTCGTTGCCGGCGATACCATTGACTGTCGTGTTGAATTGGGATGGAATGTAAAAGTGGCTCTGCTTTGCCGAGAGACCTGGCCGTCCCGAGTAGTGGAATTGATAAACGGGTAAGAAGGCCTGTTCATCTCCCACGTAGAGCAAACCAGAGTCATGAAGATAGCTTAGCCGAGAGGTGAAGGAGTTTGCACCGCCAAGTGTCTTGATAAGAGCGCCCATGTCGTGGGGGGCATAGCTGCAAGCAACGCGTTAGATTAGAAGCACAAAGCAGAAGTGAGCACCTACAAGGTATACATCCATGCACTACCTTCATAGGTCTCATGGCCATCAGGATTGAGGTAACATGAGGTAAAGTTCAAAAGAGGACTACAAAAAATCGGATCCTGATAGCCCCATGTGCCGTTCGTGTATCGAGGTTGTAGAAATCCGGTGAAGTTGGTGTCGACCCCCTTGATGCTTGACTTCTGGTCGGGCTTGAACATGTGAGCCCAGTTTTCAGACCGTTTCCTGTATTTCTCAAAGTCAGACTGGTGGCCCATACCCTGTGCCATCTCGGCAATACAAAAGTCATTATAGGCATATTCCACTGTCCTTGATATACTCCGAGTGTGTGTACCTTCACCATCGGGATCATAATCATCAAATGGAATATAGCCGAGATTTTTCCAGCTCCGCAAGCCACCACGGCCTTCTACATCCCAGTTTTGGGGCTCTTCTTCTGCATCTTTGACAACGGCTTCATATGCAGTATCCCAGTCAATACCCGGAACCTTCTTCAGGTACGCATCTGCCATGACCACATCTGCGTTGGACCCGCCTTGCGTGAATCCTTTGCACAGCGACATGCGACAGTCAGGTAAATACCCCTCGTGTCTATAAGTGTCGATCAAGCTGCGCATCATGAGAGATTGTGAGAAAGGATCAACCAGGGTCAGCAGTGGATGAATGCTGCGAAAAGAGTCCCATATGCTGAGCCATCTGGTTAGCATGTTAGTCATCTATTTCGAAGCGGGATTCGCTCACCAATAGTAGCTATCATAGTACGGCTCATCACTTTTCCAGACAGGGTTTTCACCAGTATAGTCCTGAGGGCTAATGAATGTCCGATATGCTCCACTCCAGAAAACCGTTTGTAGATCTGATGAAACTTCAGCAGCATTCACAGAGATAACGTCCATCTTCTTTCGCCAAGCAAATTCAGCAGCGGAAACGGTGCTCTCGAAGTCAAAGTCGGGTTGTTCTCGCTCCGCGTTTGAGCAAGCCTGCTGAACACTGATGAAGCTAACGCCAACGCGAGCAAGAATTCTGTTATCTTTGGGAGCGTGGAATCTGGTAAATGTACCTGCCGAGAGAGTGGACGATGCGTTAGACCCAAGTGTCAACGTTCGTCTGTCAATGTTTACTTGGTTTTTCTCCCAGGTGCCTGTGCCACGAAGCTTTGCTCCTTTGAAATCAACGCAGACATACGACTTGTAACTGCCAATACCAAAGCTCGGGCTGAAAGTGCCACTTGCCGTAATACGCCCAGTCGACTGATCCACATCGGCACTTCCACTTATTCGAGATTGCGGTAAATCCATCAAATCCAGAAGGACCACTGGACTGAGTGACTCCCCGGAGGTTTCACTGAACGTAAACCGATACAAAGCAGATCGATTTGTGGTCGTCATCTCCGCATGAACACCATTCGCCAATGAGATGCTGAAATACCCCGGGCGAGCTTCAGGTGACTTTTGTTCCCAGGCAGCTGCTCTGTCTGATTGTTGCCATTTGCACTGTTTAATATCATCATGCGGGCAATTTCCTTGCGCGAAAATGGGAAAATTTCCCATTGATGGAGACTTTGGAGCCAGTTAGATACATGACATGATCTTCAATACTCTGCAAGACTTACGCCGCCAGTCCCAGAGTCATGCATGTGTGAGAACCCGGTTACAACCTTCGTATCGTAAGCGAAGCCGGCTTGATTCTCACCTGTTGTATCCGCCACGGCTTTAGCCATACCTGCAATTATTAGCCTTGCTAGACAACACGAAGCAAGGTATGAATTACCAAACGGCAAAGTCGCGCCAGCAAATACATGGCCTGTAAGAGTTTTCAGCTTTCGGCGACGGAAAAGCTCGTCCTATTCAAGACAAACCTCCATTTGCGGTGCCAATCAACGGATCGACATATTTCAAGACGTCGAAATCATCTAAAGAGTCCTTTGTGGCTATCGCGTTGGAAGCATAGAGGGCTGTTACGATGCCACCGAGGAGCCCCATACGGAGGGAGGGATGATGTGATGGCATAATGGGTCTAGGGAGTATCCACGACCATACAAAAATATGATCCAATAGCTGTCCAGTTTAAAAGTGAGACTAGAAGAAGCGTTCCACTTCAACATTCAAGCTCCTTATCAAGGGATTGGCAAAACGTCGTGGGGAAAGCATTCCAACACAGATCGGCATGCGAACTGCCTTTCGAGGGAAATGAGGGAAAACGGGGAAACTGCCAGTCACATCCTTGGTATCCTTAGACTTTAGACCAATTGACAATATGCAGGAGCAATGCACCAATCCACATAGTATCAACCCTCGGCCAAGGTGGTGTCACATCTATTGTATCTGGTCCGGAAATACGGAGTACACTCTGCCACGCTCGTTTGCTCCCCACAGGAGGAGAGGTCAAGGAGCGAAAAGCGCGAAAATGCGCAAGGAAGATGCTTGAACAAGGCTCCAAGAAAAAAAATCCATGATGACCTGGTTCCTCTGACTGGCTGCCGATCGTTGAGGTGGAGGGGAGCCAATTACCCCGAGCTGCGGGGAACGGTGTCTCTCTAGACGATCCGTCCGTTCCGAGGGCCAACAAGTCGATACTAAGCCAGAGCCTTCATTTCATGTAACCTTCTTCCCGCCTTTTTGTGTCAGACTCATGGAGAGGGTGAAGATGATATGATCAACAGTATGATCGACCGGTCGGGAACCTTTCGGCGAAATTTGGGATTTCCAACATGCATCAGAAGGTCGAAAAATGATGATGTTGGGCAAATATCATGGCCATTCAAAGCGATCGTGTCGGATTAATCGAAAGCCCGAGACATTCAATGTTTGTTCTTTTGCTGCAGTTAAAACTCTTAATCATTACTTCCGTTTCCTTTATAAATAGAAGTCAAAAAAAAGCTTCGTGTAGCCAGGCACGGCCGGTCAGAACATGTCAATAGCAAGGCTATCCCAAGCCCTCCCCCTTTGCTCAGACGCCGGTCTTGAGCTGTTGCGTGAAGCTGTCGAAGGATTGGGAATGGCAGAGTCTCGGGGTGAGTGCCTGGAATCAAGATACGCTTTGATTTGTGCATTCTCGCACTGTAATCGCGAAAAGTCCTCTTGGATATTCACCTTGTCTCGTATTGATGCACGATTTGATTCAATCTCTTTTATCGCCATTCTCAGTTGATGCTTGAACTGTGACGATTGGGTATGGTGATCTGTCTCAGCATCTGGTAGCGCTAGATATTCCAGAAGCTGAGGGTACGTCTCTGCAACAGGAAAAACCTCAGCTGGCGTACCGCGAGAATAGGTTTCATCACCAAGGTTCAAATTAAGGGGATTCACCATTCGCGGGGCCGCCGAGGATATACGCCGTGATGTTGTTGGTGATAAATCGCCACGAATTGAATTGTTTCCAGATGACAGGTCTGAATAGCTGCTTGGAATTGTCCTGCCAGTATTTGGGACTGGGGATGGCACGGGAAACTGGGGTGGTGCCTGATCCCAAGCTCTTGCCCGGCACGACGGACAATGAAAGTTATCTGCAGAACGAACCACGTCCAATAGACATGCAGTATGATAGGATCTACAGCATGTCTGGCAACCAATCAGACTGTCAGGGAGACGACACTCCCAACAAACTATGTTATGAGGTTTTCCAGCATCTGCGATATTTAGTTAGCAGATATCACCGGTCAATTTGATTTGGTAGCACACCAATCCATTCGTGATACACGCGAATTTGTTCAGGGCCTGAAAGAACAGGCTGTGTTGAAGATATTGAGCCCCATCGTATCTGGTTGTGATCTTCAATAGACCGGACCAATGGAGTAGATGAGTCATATTCGCTATCAACGAGAATTGATGGTCTCCGAAGCATGATGGGGTTTTTGTAGAAGTGAAGTAAATGACGACAGGAAGTACAAGGGAAAATGAACCAAACTCCGAGTTCCAAGCGAGAAATTCCCGGGCTTATATAATCACTCCTTAAGCCCGCCTTGCACGCATCTTGCATCGTTCATTCTAGATTTCCTGCCCTCCAATTGCATCTTCCCTCGATCTGTTTTCGAGATGTGAAGTAACTGTGTGTACAAAAAAAGACGCAAAGTGGTACTTTTCCTATAACCTCAAAAACCGAGCACTAAGCCCTGGAGATCACGACACTGGCACAAAACCCACAATGCCTGGGGTGCCATCTAACAAGGCTTGCGAGCGTTGCAAAAAGAGGCATCTCAAAGTTGGTTTGACATCATTCGAACAAGAATTTGCAGATCATCGCTAACATGTGGCAGTGTGATGAGACTCGCCCTCATTGTCAGCGGTGCACCACTGCAGGGGCAGAATGCCCGGGGTATGTTCAAACCCGCAAATTCATCGACCAAGGAGCCACAGTAAGGCGCCGCTATGCTCCATATCAGGAGCCTCATTCAAAACCAGGCCCTGCATTCAATTCAAGCAAAGTAGGTCAAACTACCAATTTATGATTCTACTCCGGGCACTCGTGCTTCGCGATAGGTCCCCGCAAAGCTGATATCAAACCCAACGCAGCCAAAAAGCTCACGAGTAGGACGTGATGAGCAGATTTTGCAATGGAGCCACAATCAAGAGAAAGACAATCCAGTTTTTCATTTTCATGTGGGGGAGACAAGGTTAGACTCAAGTAACCCGGTGATAATAGAGATGCCTGGTCCTTCTAGCCGCTCAGAGGTTACTATGGGGAGTAGCCAGCAAACAACTATGCATGCCCCAGAAAGCCCGGCTATCTCTATTCCCAACTCCAACTCTGGGATCGAGGAAGGCAGCGGATCTACAAGAAACACGATTTATAACTCGACTTCACCAGCTGCGGCCCCAGGAGGATTCCCGACTTTTGATAACCCCTACAACCCAATTCCATATAAACACCCCGATCACCAAAGGGTCATCTCCGAAAGCTCATCACATCGAAGTGAAAAAGATGAATTCCAAGATATCTTCTCTGAGCTCATGACTGGAACTGAACATGAGATTGCGTTCCTCACTCGACATTACTCGGAGATTATAGGCCCATGGTACGTACAATAGATGTTTCTCTCTGCTTGTACAATGTATTGATAATGCAACTAGGTTGGATTTGTCGGATTCTCGGAACTTCTTCACTGTCCATGCACCTATTCGAGCCATCAACAATCTGTCCGTGAAGTATGCCATTGCAGCACTAGCAGCCAAACACCTAGCTCGTTTGAAAGGGATTAAGGCTTCCACGGGGGGAATTTTCACGAGCCCTGCGACTACGGAAACCTACCCAAATTCAAGTCAAGTTGACTGGTTTCTCAAGGCTGCCAATTACTATTACCTAGCAGCTTCGGATTTGAATAACATGACGTCTGATGGCTATACCACTGTGTCCAGCTCAGCTATTTTGGAATCCCCCTTTGAGATCGTTGGTCGATGGATCAGCTCTGGTCAGACTCAAGCGAGCATGAAGCCCGGGAGCGAAGATCCAAGCGACGTGGCAGTCATTCGAAAGACAGAGGAGCTTTTGGCGGCTGCTACGCTTCTTACCATGTGCAGACTTTTAGATATGCCCGGGGACGAGTGGCACATGTAAGACATCCTCATTGGCGATTTTTTTTACTACTAACACTTAGACCCAGGCAACTTGCTCGTATTCGTCCTTTGTTTGAGTCTATTCTCAGTTTACACTCGGCAACATCCGCCCTGTTTTCTCACGGCATTCAGGCTGCATTCTGGAATTTCGCTCGCCAAGACTATCTCGGTTCTTATTTAACCCGATCACCTACACACTTCGACCCAGAAAACCTGGCACTCTGGCGGGCAGCAGGAATTTCAATTAATGACCAGAAAGAGTTTCATCTTATCCGAAATGGGTCAACTCTATCACAGGAAGATCAGGCTGCTAATGGCTTGATCTGGCTTGTCACGAAAGTCATCAACTTTCTTGCCAGGTCTAAACAATTACAGCTCGCGCAATGGACAGGGTCTTCGCCGGGAGCTTCACCTGAAATCCAAGGTACAACACCAAACACCGCTCAACTACCATATCCGGACACAGATACCTGGCTCAAACTATCTTTCGAGTTTCAAACATGGTTTGAAAATGTGCCTGAAACGTTCCGTTCTTCTGTGCGGATCGAACGCCCCAAGGATAAATCAAAGACTGCCGAGGGGAGTTATTTGCCATTCCCAGAAATATTTTATAGTTTGACAGCTTGTGCTGCTGCCATGCAACATTACCATTTCGGGCGCATCGCATTGTTACTCAATCGCCCGGCAGACGTGATCAGTGCACCATCTACAGCCTTTGACCGCTTACAAGGGTACCGGGAAGTCACGAAAGAGGTCGAGTTTCGCTCCCGTGAAGTCGGCGGCATTGCATTGGGCCGCCCCCAGGGTGGGGTTCGCATATTCATGGTTCCGCTTCTTGTAGCTGTTGGACAGTGTCTTGAAAATTACGAGGAACATCAGATTATTGTTGATCTGCTACGGGGTGTCGAAGCTGACTTGGGATGGACCACTGAATATGCCATTCGGAAACTCCACGACTATTGGAATCAATAATTTTTTCTTGATTTCTGTTTCTACGTCGGGAGAGGCCATGGACTACACTGTGTCTAAATTTCTATATACCTTATATGCTTAATTCCAAATATTCTTTTGAGCAAAGTGCACTGATTAGTTGATGAAAATTATCGCCTCTTGTGCTTCAACGGGAATGATTTCCGAGGTTTTGGCTATGACGCTTGATGGGATGATGGTATTCTTCCATCACGTATACTTAGCGTGTGATAGTAACTTCATTCCAAAATTTCTGAAAGCAAGTCCATTGTAGCATTGTAACATTGTGTCAAAATTGAAATAAAGACAATTTTCTAGTCTAGCAGTGATAAGGGACTAACAGAAACAGAGATCAACGCGAATAATTTCTCCATAAAACCAATGGGAAACTTTTTAATGCAACCGGTTCTTATATCCTGTATCAACGAGGCATACTCTTTCTTTCCATCGCTCTGATTCAAATCCCAACCCAACCCTCGGCGTAGCTAGAGACATATGCCATCCTCATGTTTCAAAATGCGGTTATTCTGAGGAACTTGACAGATCTTCAACCGGATCTAGTTCTGGTCTCTTCTGATGAACGTTCAGAGAGATATCTTTCAACGGGATCTGGGTCACCGGAACCACAGGAAGAAACCCTTCGGCCAGCTTTCTTTCTGTCGGAGGCCAAGGTCTGCGCGAATGGTGACAGTTCCCGAATCCTAGGGCCTTTCCAATAGAATATGTATATTGGAATGGTGAAGAGAATCGCCATAAATCCCAAGAAGGTGGAAGGCCATTCAAGGTGGTGTGTCGTACCCATGTGTGTGTACACTTTATTTCGCGGTCAGGGGATATTCTATTGTAGGATTGTGGTTACTCACTGGGCACTGAATACATCGCTGCAATGCCGGCCAAAAAATCACGCGCGAATCCGTTTCCCCCTGTGGCGGAGGCTGAATATGGACCATACGCGGCAATCATGTAGTCAATTGTGGCCATGTAGATAGCGTACTTGATCAACAGAATACCATATCAGTCTTGTATTATTGTAGTAAGGGACAGAGATGTTATTCCCTCATCACTCACATTGGCAATGGCAATCAAGGCCGAGAATATCATAGGTGCAATCCAATGGACATGAGGTGGACCCAGACTTGTCCACGCAAATCCAAATAGGCCGATTGTCAAGAGAGGAGCCACTGTAGCGAGTTAGTAATGAGAGAAAAAATGAAGGAAAGTCTGAAGATAAGTACCCCATAGCAACCAGTAAAGACGAGCTTCTGGCTGAAGAGCATCTGGGTCTTTCTCTCTAATTTTGCGATGTTTATGAATCCATGGAACAAACGAAAAATAGGCAATGAAATAGCCCACCAGAAGTCTGTCAAATCATCAGAACCAGCCTGAATTCAAAGTCGTGCGTACTCACGGGAGGAATGAAAGTCCAGTTGTAATTGTAGTGAAGTGCCATTGCTTGTATACCGGCGTGTAAGATTGGAGGAAAGTGAAGATGAGAGAATCGCTGAAGCCGCTGAGCAGAGATAGGCATAGGACGATAGGCTCACGCATGAACATAACAAACGGTCGTATCCAAACCATGAACACCCAGCGGAAGGACATGCGAGTTTTCTTCAGCTCGTCGCCACTCCACACCATATCCCCATTTTTCCGCCTCCGCCTAGCCTCTCTCGTGATAAGAATACTGCACCTGGTCTCGGGAATGAAGAAGTGCAATATCTGTACAAAGCCTCCAAGAATAAGCTGTAGCCAGAAGTTCCAATGCCAGCTCAGGAAGGTTGCCACAAAGCCCCCAACGACTGGGGCAATGACCGAGCCTGCCACAGAGGATAGCACAATGAAAGCCACAGCATATTGTTGATCCTCTGGCTCCCACATGTCTGCTACCATGCCGAGTGTTACAGAGCCCCCCGCGGAGGATAAACCACCGAGAATACGGCAGATAACAATGGTGCCAAAGTTGGGAGCCAGAGCGCAGGGGATTTGCCAAATATTGACGAAGAACAAACTGAGCTGCATGATTGGCCATCGACCAAACTCTTCGCTGAAAGGTGCCCAAAACTCACAGCCAAATGCATAGGCAACGAGAAATCCCATCTGACCAATACGTGCGGCCTGCTCTGAGATGCTGAAGTGTTTCGCGTACAGGGTGATGCTGCTGGCATAGAAACTAGCATTGAAGTTCATGGATGTTTGGACAGCAAAGATGACGGAGAGGATACTCCATTTCTTCCACCAGGGATAGGAATATCCTAACTTGTCGTAACACTCCCATTCTTTCAACTCATCTCTGGCCTGCCCATCGACAGCTCCATCTGCACCCTCTTTCTTTCGGCGGCTGGGCCTAGTAGTACCCCCAGGAGAACGGATTTCACCATCAGTGTCATCTTGCTTCTCCGCATCTCTATCTGCCTGATCTTGATTGGAGAATGGGTCTTCGTGGTGACTCATTGTAGTGAGGTATTCGACAAAAATGACTCGAGAGCTGCCAGCAGAATAGAACTCAAAAGAACAAGAGCCGCCATTCTGAATATCAGGCATAAACCGGGGCCCCAGGCCTAGTTAAATGCTTTTTGGGGTTGTCTAGAGAAGTGTCAAGGGTCTATTACATCGACTCTGTACATAAACTATCGATGTTTCCGATTGGCCCGGGTGACCAACACATTCTGGCTCGACCAAGCTTTACCAAGCTTCTTCGCGTGTTTCGTGGTGTGGAGGTGACATCCGGGGATCATGACTCTATCGATCATCATTGGGCTCAGCGATATCCTCCACACTCTAGGGGTTTGAGGATGAGGCCCCAGCCGACAGGCCGCAATTCTAATCCGGCAACGCAGACATTTTGGGTCCAGCCTCTTGAAACTTTTGAAGAGAAGGAGCTAACAAGTGAAATGGCTCGGAACATCCTCCGGCGTAGTACTACATATTCCTAATGAGGGCAACAAGAGGGCCAGTCGATGGCGAAGCCGGGATAAAGATCATAAATTACAATGGAAGAAAGAAAGGTTTACAGAGAAAGGCTCTGGTAAATATAGCCAAGGTAGACACGCATCCATAGTCTCAAAGAAGTAAAATTGGAGCATACTACTACACACTCAACTTCCAAGATTACCTAGATCATGTCCGCCACTCTTAGTCCCAAAAATAGTCAGGTCTCTCAATGCGGAATGGCACCAAGCGGCCTCCAAACTCGGCACAATGCCGTTGAGAATTTGCCGAATGGTCTTCAAAATAAGCCATTAAGACAGAGACATCGGGAGTATGAGAATAGCAAAAAAAAGCTGAAGGTGCTTAGCGCAATGAATCTGAAGGACTAGGAGCCCTACGGAGCAGAGATGGAGGCTATTTGCATGCCACTTTGACCGGAGCCCTGCTACTGGTTGACCTCGAAATGCGATAGACACATCAGGCTAATGGGCACAGGGCTATTCTTACCATTGGTAGCTGATCACCTTGCTTTCCCGGTCGAGTTCTGCCCCTGCAGAGGTCTAATTTTTCATCTTGTACTTGAATAACAGGGGGCCCCAACCTGACCACACGATGAGAGTAAGACTGGCAAACTCTCTGGGAATCGCCTTCGACTCTCTAAGCGACTTCGTGTAAAGTCAAGCTTTAGGGATAAGTAAAAACTTTTATGCCCATCAGATTGTGGGGGAGCGAGTATGCACAATGGTATGACCATGTGCCAACGTACCAATATGGCTGCGTATTGGAAATTACCACATCCAGTGTCAGACAATGTTGTAGGCTACGCAAAAACTAAGGCTTTTATCATGGTCTAGTAAAATGCCCTGTGCACAAAAAGGTCAAAAACAAAATGCTCACACTCGGAGTCGAACCGAGGATCTCATGATTACTAGTCATGCGCTTTACCACTAAGCCATGCGAGCTGATTGGTGGACTCTTTTCCCAGTGTGGCCTTACATATCACAAAAAGAAGAGGATCTCACTATTTCTCCATAGCCTCGATAGCTCTGTCTCTGGTTGTAGCACGCACTAGGCGAGGGAAAGAACGCGATTCGGACGGGGTGCTTAGAGTGGAGTCTCTAGAATTGAAGGAATATTAGTAAGGAGGAAATTGGCAAGCTTTCAATGATTATAAGATATTTGGGTCGTCGGGTATTAAATAGATGTCTCTTGATCAGATGCCTGCAATGAGGACTTGAGAAACACTCCAGCTAGTTGCATGTTATGAACTAGATTACGAATGGCAAGCTTTGGTATTCGAACTGAGCTGATTATCATCCACTCGAACACATCGGCAGGTGTAAACGACATTCGCTCTTCTGATATCACCATAGAGGAAACCAGTATTTTTCATACTGAAACTTCCTTTCGAAGTCGCAAGGGACCTGTCTTCTACCTCCTAGCACTAGTTTAAAGAAATATGCCGACGTTCTCAGTCTGTTCAAACTGCTATTGTATTCGATCTATCGCTAAAGCCGACACCGACCCAAACAACAAAATTTAAGTGATACTGTTTCCGGGGGACTTGAAGGCTATATGCCGCACATATCCCTAAAAATGTAGCATTCAAGAGATTGTGTCCGAAGAGCTCGACTCAGATATCACGGATGAAAATGATGATGACGACGACCAAACAAGTCCAAACCGTTAGCGCTTGGCAAATTTACCAAGGCCATCATTGAAGAGATCTGCCCGCTAAAAAATTGAGGGTGCTCTCAATGATGCGCTGACCCAAACGCGAAGGAAGATTCAAAAAAGCCTCAATCAGAGTAGTTGAGCATGTTCATAATTATAGTAATATCAGTTCCAGCAGAAACTGACTAAGCTTAGATTGGTCAATATCGGAAGCCCTAAAAGAGATGAAGGTACGGAGATTTATCTCCACGTCACCAAGACAGATATTCTGTTCCATTGGTATGTAAGAGAGATGATGTTCAGTCTACAAATGAAGCTGTAGATGAAACTGGAGATCTCTGGATGCGTTGTAGAAGAGAGAAGCTATCTACAGGTTTAGCTAGACTAAGTACTAGGAGCAAACAAAGAAATCATGTGACTTCTAACAGTGTGTTAAATTTCTAAAAAGTACCAAGGCTGTGGGGAAACACATATAGTAATGCCCCGATTTTGAGAAGTGGCCATTTTGGGGGTAGTGATAATACGCATTACTGGTAGGGACATATCCGTACACACGCTAGACACATAAACATGACTAACCTTCAGCCAGAGACACATCTCATTCATCTATTCCATCATTCCACGTCAAGTACCATATGGCTCTCGAGAGTAAATTCCTGGTCAGCTTCGAAAACAGCTCTGATTTTGTTTGCTGGGTAAGTTTTCATGATTGAAGAGTCCTAGATACGGGGAAAGAAAGTTGATAGAAGGCTGCATCTCATGGATCTACCCGGTCACCAATCCACCTACAGCGAGGCTACTGGGCGAAACTTCTGCTAGCTTCAACTTCACCGCCAGAAGATCTCATCTGGCTGTTCAAGAAGGGCTTAATCTTTCATTGGCTGGTCTTCTGTTCCTAGCCGGAAGCTTTGTCATCCCGATGTTCATGCGGCAAAATTCTCGGATCGCATCTTGAGAGTTGGTAAGATCAACGATACTCTAGGTCTGACAAGAAAGCTAATCGACCTTTTTCCATGCGAGCTAGAATCGTTTGCGCTGTAGAGTCAGTAGGGTTGGAGCTAAACAATGCGGTTAACATGGTCTGCCTCTTACTTATGGTTTGGATTACATGCCCGGATATGGGTGCATCAAAGAGCCGGCTGTGAAACTTGGTAGATTCTGTTAAATCCATGGTTAGGGCAATACAGCCAGGAGAGTCCCTAAAGCATCAATTCATAAACTTCGAGACTAGATTGAAAATAAATGAACGACAGATCATCGTGATGCCTCGTAGTTCAATGCGCCATTATGGTACTAAGAAGACAATATCAGAAAATCGCTGGACTGACTCATCGGCTTCTAGGTCAAAATCCTAGCTCTCATTTGCTCAGTTGTTAGTCGCTTGGTCTCCCATCTGGAAAGCGGACCGAGAGCGCAAATTCGCTCCAGGCCTGCGAATTTAACGCACCACAAATTCAACCTGTGTCCACAGTGTTACTGTTGGAAGGTCGCGTGACCACCACTGTTTGCTCCCAGTACTTAGTCTCAGTCATAGCATGTAGATGGTTTCTCTCTCTCTCAACGCATCAAGAGATTTCCAGTTACATCTACATTCATCGTGGATCTCTAGTATCTCTAACAGTTACGTAGATTATGCATTTATGGCCGCGAGTGTTTTCTGCCTAAGGCGACATGCCCGGAGACCGATTAGGGCAAGTTCCATCATCACTTCGAGCCCAATGTGACCATAACTTCGCCTCTTCTTTAATCAGAAAATGGATCTTCTGTATCTTTTTACTACATACGCGGCTGAGTTCTGCTAGGGAGGGAATCATATCGTTAGCCTGGGCTTTAGGAACAAAACCGCTCAAACGGAGAACCTCTTCCCAAGGTTGACAAGATCAACATTCCTGTCAGTTTTACCCTTGGTGATAAGTATAGTTACGAAGCTACCAAATATGAGACAGATGAATGGCTGTTTGAGAATGAAGCTAAATCAAAAAGGGAGAGGAGAAAGTTTATAGACGGGCTCATGGGTTCTGTATGCGGGCTGACATGCAAGTGCAATTATATTGTAAGCAGCATTCTTCCACTTTATCCAAAGCATCCTCTTAAGGCAGTCCGTCAGAACAAGACACAAAAAAGAAAATTACACTTAACCGACGGGACTTGGGGTCGTAAGTGAAAACAATACCACCAAGCCACGCGAGTGGCTTGTAAATTGGACACAAAGCTTTTTGTGGAAAAAAAAAGAAGAAGATGCTCACACTCGGAGTCGAACCGAGGATCTCATGATTACTAGTCATGCGCTTTACCACTAAGCCATGCGAGCCGTTGCGTGGACAAAAATTCCGAACTCTGCGGTTATACGCCTATCTTTGTGAACGATCAAAATTCGTGTCCGTCCATGCAAAAAAAATCAGTTACCTTCGGCTCATGAAGCCTCGTTGAAGATGGAAAGCCGAAAGCTCTAGCACCTCCATATGGAAGAGCTATCTGTCCAAATCTGTGCATTTGTATTTATGTCACCTCAACATATCTATCACTATGCATCTAGATTTGAACTTGATAGAGATGGTGTACTGGCTACAAAGGAAGTTGTAGATGTAACTGGAAAATCTCTTAATGCGTGGAGAGAGAGAAACTATTTACAGGCACTAGCCAGACTAAAGTACTGGAACAAACAGAGAATTCACATGACTTCCAACATAACATTTGTGTTCTTGACACAAGTTGTCTGTGGTTGCTAAATCCTATAATTTTTTGGCACGCGCAAACCAAACTGGCGTGAGATAATTAAAGGCACAATCCATTCCACCAATTAGCTCGCATGGCTTAGTGGTAAAGCGCATGACTAGTAATCATGAGAT